CAATGATGATGATCATTTCCCCCGGCACGCTCCCATGCCGCGCTTTATATAATTTCACTAACGGGAATACACGTGGGATTGAATACCACATTCGAACTTTTCACAAAATCACCACATATTCTACAATTCATAAAACGGAATCATATAAAATGTTACCAATCATCAATCTTCATCATTGCCGCATTGCCAATAATCTCATCTTCAAAAGGCGCCCTCCAACACCCCTGCAATGAGGACATAGCCATCTCCACAGGATCTGAATACCTGCAACCACATATAAAATAAAAATATTGAGTAAAAACCGTGTTTTTACGTGGACTCCGTGTTTTTACGTGGACTCCGTGTTTTTACGTGGACTCCGTGTTTTTACGTCGACTCCGTGTTTTTACCACTCCGTGTTTTAAAGTTTTGGACACTTCACTCCGGGACTCCGTACTCCGGGACTCCGTACTCCGGAACTCCGACTCCGTGTTTTCATGCATACCATTTTAAGCTCTGCGATTGGCTGGTGAAAGACAAATACTGATTTTTTATTTGTTTGCTTTATTTGACTTGAAGGAAAAATATATCCTTTTCAGTAAATAAGGAATAATAAAAATTTCTGGATGTTCGACGGTGGATGTTTTTTAATATCTTATATCTGTTGGATTCTACGGCTCGATTGCTCCATTTATACGAATTCATATTTCTATTTTACAAAATGGTATTTTATTTTAACGAAGTTCCTGCAAAGCCCAATACAGATCTTGTTAGGAAGTTAATTCACGTTACAAATAGCGAATATGTCCACCCTAGAATATGTCGAATACTTTTCAGTTGTCGAGTATTAAAATATGGATAATTCCGTTGCCTCGTGTGCTCGTCAAAATGAGAAATCTACTGAGATAAGGTAAAGATTCATTTCGATGTTCACGTAAACAATACTCCTAAACGTTCATGTAAACTATAGTCCTATAATTTGCTATGTATATTTGAGCGTGGCTCTGTATTAGCATTTTTAAATATTTCCGTAATTTCGTAATTGCACAAGACAAAATAGGTTTTTGATTTGACAACCTGATCAAACGCTTCTGCACTGATATCAACTTCAAAATCGTTTATTCTTCTTTTAAAATCAAAAACCTATTTTGTTTTAAAGACCCTATTCCTTCCACCCTTAAATCATGCGTAGTATATGAATCTCCTTACACAGAGCGATATTACAAGTATTTCATTGCAGGCTCGCTTAGTCGTCCTATGCTGTTGTCACACAGGGCAAGGTGAGATTTCTTCAGAAGGTGTTATAGGTATAGCCCGGTCTTTTCTTGCTGCTGGAGCTCGCTCTGTTCTCGCCACACTCTGGCCCATTAGTGATGATGCAACAAAGGAGTTTATGGAAGCATTATACGGCGAACTGCTTCAGGAAACACCAGTTTGTGAAGCTTTAGAAGGGTAATGAACCTCTTTCAGCAACACGAAAGAGAATATTACCAATCCTTTTTTTTTGGGCTCCATTTATTCTCTATGGAGAGGATGTGATGTTTACAAGGTGCAACATTGAAACGATAAGAGAGAAATCTGACAAAATGTTTTTTGGTTTTGTTGTATTGCCATCTGATGAGCTTACTGGTTCGTTTGAAAATCTTAATCTGCAATAATATATCGTAGTACAGGTTAACGTTGTCTTTTTTGCAGTTTAGTTCTAGGAAGGGCATTTACAGGTTCTGTTTAGAAAAGCTAAATATTTTTTATAGATTTTTCCGTGTTTGCTTATACAAGGGATATTCAAGAATTTCTTCTTTCAAATCGGCAATTAATAGATATTATCACAAATTTAAATGCACTCACAATTAAAAATTGGAAGTTTTCAACAGCATTGTTACATTTCCGTCTATTTTGGGTCATACAAAGGACTAAATAAAGTAAGAAATCCGCGCTTAAGTTGTTTGTTAGTATATATAAATGAGCGTAGCTGCATGTATACAAATTCTGTCAATTATATCTCAGTCATTGCACATAAAGCTAGCTTATATGAAGTTTGCGTGGAATGTACGTTCCGCAAACGCATCAAAATACTTTACATGCACAGCAAAAAATTGATCAGTTTGTCGCATCGGGTGTGAACAATGTTGTGCTGCACCCCATGAACAACTATTTTTAACAATGTTGTTGAATCTTGTAGAACCATCAATCTTGATGCAATTTGTTGACATGATTGGCAACACACGTTGCAATAGTATTGATGGTTCAACAATCATTGCTGACAATCCTGTTCACAGGGTGCAGAACAACATTGTTCACGCCTGTTTTGAATAACTTGCATCAACATGATGATTTTTACCTGTGTATAATCATGTATAATTTGGGGAATGTTTTTACTAAGCCTTGAACGCGCATGATCAAGACGCAATCTTGACCCAACATGTGTAAACAGAAGTATTATTAGCCGAAGTGTTATTATCTTCAATTGGCAGCTATTTTTCCAGTTTTTGACATACCTTAGACAAACTTGTCCTTGTATCGGATGCGATTCTCCACGCAAAGATCTTCTAATAGTTCTCCACAAGATCGTCTGGTTTCAACCGTAAGTATGATGTTTATATTTTAAGTGTAGCTGATCTGTCAAACCTGCTTGGATGTACCGGAATGCTGGTGCTGGTCCAAAAGACCCGAGGAGAGGTTGACAGTCCTTAAACCGATTCGTCAATTTAAAAAATCGAAGAAGCTGGCAAACTGCTACTTATCGCGAGGATAATAAACCACTCGAGTTTCATTTTTGAAAATTATAGTTTCAAAATATTTCACCGGCCTCAAAGATCAAAATCTGAGTGGAAGAACCAAGGTACACTTTCCTAATGTTTCGTTTCGCACTAAGTGAATTGCATGTAGCTAGAGAAATAACAACAACTTAAAATATTTTCGTGAAGCATACCTTGAATTTATGCAATTTATAAAGAAATATTTGGAAGAGTGCAATCTAGCATTGTCCTATTCAACATTTCTTATGATGCTTCAGATATACATGCTTAATTCTGCTCTTCAAGCGAATTAACTAGTTTTCATGGAAAGAAAATTTTTTTTTTACTTTGAACCGATTTTATACAGGAGACAACAACTGACACTGTTTTTTGAATTATTATGCATGGGTTAATTACTTGATTCAAAGCTTTTAATTTATCATGGGTTGATATCCTGATTCAAAGCCTTTAACTTATTATGCGTTAATTACTTGATTCAAGCCTTTGTTTTCCCTTGAACAAAGGATAATAAATAAACAACGAGAACAACGAAAAACGCTAGCTCTGCGGCGTCACATTAAAAAAATATGTCAACAATAATAAATAAGCGAACGAATTTTTCGTTGTTCTCAGCAGCATAAATTAATGTGTTTTTTTAATATATTGAGGCAAGACACTTAGATATTTAAATAAGTGCCATTCAAAAGAGCATGTTTAAAATTTCTAGTGGATGAAAAAACGATAAGGATATTCTAGTTCTATCAATTGTGACATAGCAGTGCACTTAGTTTTCTCTAATGAAACAAAATGACATTCAATAACCTAATGGAAAACAGTAGCCGAATTATACTAGCATTATCACTGGAATGGGAAAGATGATGTAATGGATCGAGTTTTGATGCTTGTGCAAAAAGACCACATCCCAAACTTGGACGCAACCACGCATGGTCTAATTAATTTTGTGAAAAAAAACATTCCGTATTTCCGTGGATATACTTTAAACTCAGACAAAGGTTCTTCGCAAGAAAGTCACGAGTAATGATTCGGGTTTTGATGCTTCGTACAAAAACATCACATCCCAAACTTGGACGCGGCCATTGTCCCATTAGTTTCTCGAAAGTCAGACAAGAGAACATTCCGTATAATTCTTAACGTGAAGATATTTGATTAGTCAGTCAAAAGTTCTATGCAAGGAAATCACCAGTGCATGACACAATCACGAGTTGCAATGAAATTGAATGCCGTGAATCAGTTGTTGTGGAATTGAAACTCTTCGCATGTGCTAGGCGAAAATAAACCAATTAACCCAGGTTTAGCACTAATCCTGGGTTAAATTTAACCGGCTTTTGAACAACCGGCCCCTGGTGTGTATGACGAACAAGTTTTTTCGCCTTGCCAATTTTATTTGCTCGTGTGTACGCGAAAAATTTGACAAATTTTTCTTGACAAGTTTTACGATAATATGAGCCATGATTAAATGAGTATACGACCGAATCTCAATGCAAACAAAAATTGAATCTCAAAACAAACAAAACCTGCTCCATTGGTTCAAAGATATTGTTGCGCAGTTGCCTACAATTCCTTGGGCAATTCCTTGTCAATTCCGTACACACGGGCATTTTTCCTTGTTCAAAATCTGGCATGAGTCGAGACTAGCTTTTGAACAAGGCTCCTTGTCAAGGAAAACTTGCCAATTATTCCACCTGTACGGGCTTAATTGACGTTACGCGTCATCATTGAATATTTATTTTAGAGATTTTTTGTGGGTAGCCACTGCGCATTCGTGGCTAACCACTATGTAGTTGAAAAAGTGTCTGTGGGCATACGCACGTCTGTCGTTAATCTTCGGCTTTCGTCGGATAAACGAAAAGTGACGAACATACTCTTCGTTCGTTTGTCAATACTTTCGGAAAATTTTGTGAATGTTTAGTTTAAAATAGGGAATGGGGAATGCGGGAATGGGGGAATGCGGGAATGGAGAATGCGGGAATGGGGGAATAAGGGAATAGGGGAATAAGGGAATGGGGGAATAAAGGAATGGGGGAAAAAAGGAATGGGGGGATAAGGGGATAAGGGAATGGGGGAATAAGGGAATTGGGGAATAAGGGATGCGGGAATAGGGGAATGCGGGAAGGGGGAATAAGGGAATGGGGGAATAAGGGAATGGGGGGATAAGGGGATGGGGGGATAAGGGAATGGGGGAATAAGGGAATTGGGGAATAAGGGAATGCGGGAATAAGGGAATGAAGGAATACGGGAATGGGGGAATAAGGGAATGGGGGAATGAGGGAACGCAGGAATGGGGGAATAAGAGAAGGAGGGAATAAGGGAATGGGGGACCCGGTGAACGGTGAAACCGTGAACGGTGAAACCGGTGAACGAGTGAGCGGGGGAACCAGGGAATGGGGGAACAGGGGGATTGGGGAACCAGGGAACAGGGTAAAGGTAGAACTATGGACTCATCGAGCAGCTAAACTAATAGTAACAGTCCTGAGCCTGAAAGGAACAACTGTTAGTATATATTAGGTGTGTATACAGTATATATGGCTCTCTGCATCTAGGATGCTACTTACAAATATATTTATTGTTATCAATGCCAACCTGGCAAGTGTTATAATTGTAATTGTGAAACTCAGGCACTCTTGTATTCATTTTACCAAAGTGAAAAATCAAAATATACTTGCTTTTCAGTAAAAATTAAAACTATAAATAAGATAATGGTATTGCATGTTGTGTGCTAGTGTGTTCATTTAGTTGGCATGCAAAATTTCATTTCAATAGTGATATCTATTCAAAATATAATGACAAATGCAACACATATATATGTTATATGGGAATAACATTGCTCAAGAAACTGTTCTGTGTATATAATTTTCATGCATGTTTGCATTTGCTTTCAACAAAATCTATAAATGAACCCACTGGTCGACCCTTAACTAATTAAGGACCGTCATCCTTTATTAGCGGGTTGGGGGCTGAAGAGAAAAGGGTAGGGTAACTGCATGAAAATGAAGCGTTATTAACAATATAAATCCTTTCATCATTTAAATCTGAAACCAGGCATGAACTAGCTGTACAATCCTAAATCATTATACATCAAGTGACTGACATCAGCAATATATAGTCAACATATTGGCTCTTTCCCAGTCAGCATACAAAGCTTAAAATCTTATAAAATCTTTAATGAGTCTCAGTCATTCCTTGCATGGTAGGAAGTCTCAGGCCTATAGTTAGTTCATGAAAACATTATATCAGAAAATATATAATCAAGTATATAATCAAGTAGGGCATTTAGATATTTATTGTAGTACAGGAAGTATTTATGTATTCCAATAAATGTCATAAATGTTGTAATGTTATATGTTATTGTATAATGAAGTAATGTTGTGTAATTGTACTGCCGCTGTACAATGTATTCATATTGGGGAATTATTACATCTTATTGTTGATTAAACATGTGTTCTTAATGCTCGGGAATTTAACATATTTGTTTTGGCGACGAGATGGGATTATGACTACCCTTGGCAAGATCGAAGAGTTCGACATCCGCAGTGGTAAGATTGATCGTTATTTGGAACGTTTGGAACAATATTTCGAAGCAAATGGCATTTCCTCGGACGACGAAGACTCGCACCATAATAAACGTCGCGCCATCTTGATCTCTGTTTTGGGCGCTGAAGCGTACGATATCTTGTTTGATCTTTGCTCTCCTCATTCACCGTCTTCAAGAATTTTGACAACCTAAAGACGATTCTAAAGTCGCATTTTGCTCCGAAGAGACTAACAATTGCCGAACGTTTTCGATTTCACAATTGTAAGCAAAATGAATCGGAAAGTGTATCGGAATTTGCCGCGAATCTTAAGAAGCTAGCTTCCACTTGTGATTTTGGAATATTCCTTCCTGCTGCTCTGCGTGATCGTTTTGTGTGTGGCTTACGCAGCTCAAGCCTGCAAAAGAAGTTGTTGGCCGATGAGCATACCTTTCAACAAGCGCTCAAAGTTGCCTTAAATCATAAAGCTGCTGAGAAAGACGTAGCTGAACTTAACCAAAAAACCCCTCCACAGATCCTGTACACAAGATTAGTCCACCGAGTGCCACCCGCGTTTCCCCACCTCCACCACCGAATAATAACAGGCAGAAATGTCCAAGCTGTGGTGAAGGAGGCCATCGTAGATCCAGTTGTAAGTACCGAAATCTTACTTGTCATTCATGTGGCAAACATGGTCACATTTCTCGTGCTTGCAAGTCACCAAAGTCAGTACACCAAGTCGAAGGAAGCCCTGAAAATGAGGACACTTTCTCTGCATCCCTATATAAGCTTGGTTCAAATAAGCAGGCCATCGTGACATCTGTCGAAGTTCAAGGTCACCCTCTCTTGATGGAAATCGATACAGGGGCCAGTATCTCAATTATTTCTCAGGAAACATATAAGAAACATTTCTCCAACATTCCACTTGTACGCAGTCCCACCAATTTACACACATACACTGGAGGGAACATCCCTGTTTGTGGACAATTCTTAGCAGTGGTAAACTACCAATCCCAACAAGCAAGTCTCCCTCTTACGGTCGTGGGTGGATGTGGACCCTCACTACTAGGTCGTGATTGGCTTCACAAGATTAAGTTAAATTGGCACGAGATTCTGAAGATCGAAGTGTCCTCCCCAGCTATTCCCACCTCTAGCAATCAGCGCCTGCAAGCTGCCATTCAGCGACACCCTGCCATATTTCAACCGGGACTTGGCACACTTAAGGGAATAACAGCCCAACTTGAATTGAAGGATGGTGCCAAGCCGAAGTTCTGTAAATCCCGCCCTGTTCCATATGCCCTGCAGGGCGCAGTGCAAAATGAATACGATCGTTTAGAGCAACAAGGCATCATTGAGAAAATTGAATACAGTGAGTGGGCTACACCCATGGTCCATGTTCCAAAAAGCGATGGTCAAATGCAAACCCGCTCATGTGGTGATTATTCTGTTACCCTCAATCCTTCCCTTAAGGTACCTCAGTACCCCATGCCAGTACCCGAAGATGTTTTCCGACAGTTGAGTGGGGGAAAACTGTTTACCAAATTGGACCTTACCAATGCCTATCAGCAAATGCTGCTAGATCCCAAAAGCCAACAATACGTCACCATCAATACTCACCGTGGCCTCTACAGATACAAGCGCCTTCCTTTTGGCATAGCGTCCTCACCTGCCATTTTTCAGCGCACCATGGAGATAATTCTACAAGGCTTGGAACATGTCACAGTCATTTAGGATGATATTCTAATCACTGGACTGGATGACAGTCACCACCTAAGCAATCTTGAAAAGGTGTTGGAACGCTTAGACAGCTATGGCTTGCGATTGAAATTAGAGAAGTGCAAGTTCATGCAACCATCGGTCATCTACATGGGGGTCGAACTGTCGGCAGAAGGTATCTTACCCACCGAAGAGAAAATTCAGGCAATCAAAGATGCCCCTCCCCCAGAGAACTCCACCCAGCTTCGGGCCTTTTTGGGCATGGTAAACTACTACAGGAAATTTATTCCGAACCTCAGCACCATACTGCAACTCCTCAATCAACTACTGCAAAAAAATCAGCGATGGACATGGACGCAAAGTTGCCAACAAGCATTCAACACGGCCACGGAAGTCCTTTCATCGTCAAAGATCTTAGTACATTTTGACCCAAAGCGGCCCGTCATCTTGGAGTGTGATGCCAGCTAATACGGTGTTGGCGCTGTTATTTCACACAAGTTTCCAAATGGTGATGAGCGCCCCATTGCCTATGCATCCCGCTCCCTCAACCCAGCTGAAAAGAACTACAGCCAAATCACAAGGAAGCTTTTGCCATAATTTTCGGTATAACCAAATTCTACATGTACCTTTATGGGCAAAATTCACACTCTACACTGACCATCAACCATTATTAAAGGGGAAGTCCACCCTGAACATAAATTATGGTGAAATGAAAGGCCTTAATATAAGTAGTTGCTGCGTAAAATATTTTGTCCCAGATCATTTTTGTTAGCGATTTATCGTGCGCTATATACCTTTAAAAATTGCAAATAGAAGCTCGCAATTTTGCCATATTACGGCGGCTCATTAAAGCTCAGCGGTTTGCGGTCGTGACGTCGCTCGAGTGCTTCTATCCGCATCGTGAGTGCTTAATTGTATGGAATTGTTGTTGTGGTTTCTACTCGAAGGACATTTCGTGAAATTTTTACGTATTTTATGGCTTTGTAACTCGGAATTTATCTGTGTCTACGCAGTACTTGTTATTGTCTCACTCTTCTGTCACTGTGGAAAGTCGATACGATATGGGGCAGGATGTTAGAAGATATTAAACATATGACTGTTTACATGATTCTGTACTTGACAACGCTAATACTATAGGAAGCAAAGATATTGATATAAATCGGATTTCTGATCAATGTCGTAAGTTAGTCTGCAGAATGATAAGACTTTCCTGTAATATAATATTGAAATAATGTATGTTTGATCATAATAAAGTGTTTTGACTTTATACCTAGTTGTGTTAATTCGTATTTGTTGTTGCTATCGTTCGTTGAAGTATAAATTTATATGTTATATACCTTTGGAATTTGTTGAAATAATAGTAAAAAATGCCTCATTGCATGGTGCCCAAATGTACTAATGGATGGCGCAAAACTAAGGGAACAGACATATCTTACCATCGTTTACCCACTAACCACATGAAAAAACTTTGGCTTCATCAAATTCGCCGAGATAATCCTCGAGATGCCAAACATTCGTTTGTGTGTAGTGAGCATTTCACACCTGATTGCTATGTTATTCTGCTTTCTGAGAGATTGTGCGGCTAGACGAAGAGAAAGCAATTAAAACCCGACGCGGTTCCAACAATTTTTAAGCACACTGAGAATGCACCAAAGACCCAAACCAGATTATTGAGCGAAAGGCGACGTCGTACTCAAGAAAAAAATGAGGTATAAAATTAAATTAGAAAATATAAATTATGGTTTCAATAGGTAACCAAAGAATAAAATTACACGTATAGTAGTGTGACATTTCTTCCATTTGACTATGTAGATTTTGCAACAATTATTGACAGAAAGATTGAGTGATCATGATAATGATGATGCAGGGACTTCAACTATAAGTTATAACATTAGTTGTGACACTATTGAAGCTTGTCAGAATCAAAATACAGGAACCGATTTCCCCACATACATAAATATCGGAACACAGTGTTGTCTTACATCTAAGGCACTTGTTAATGCTCAAACACAAACTGATGAAAGTTTTCTATTCAACCTTGGTAATACCATTGACCAGCCAGCACCATCTGCACCCACGTTTTTATTAGATCACAACTACTATGCTGATCACCAACATTTTTTTGATATAAAAGCCAAAGAACAGCTGAACACCTTGCCATCCACAGATATTGCATCAACCTCTAATGACAACCAAGACCTTGATGAACCTGGATCTGAAACTAATAGTTATAATAGTTCAATTGATGATCACCAAGATGACGATTATCAGCCTGGCAATGAACCTCTACCAGATGAGATAGATGAAATTGAGCCTGAAACTTCCTTAAATACCTTTTTGCAATCCAAGAATTTTTTAGTTAATGAAAAATCCTTGGAAAAACTTTTTAATTTATGTAATACATGTGGACAGGTCATAATTGAGAAGAAAAAGATAAAAAAAGGAAGCATGGTATCAGTAAAGTCAACTTGCATGCAGGGCCATACAGATGTATGGAACTCACAGCCATATGTTGATGGAACGCCATTGAGCAACCTACTCATACCAGCAGCTGTTATGCTCACTGGAAACACATTTGCACCCATAAATCATTTTGCATCATGCATCAACATGCAGTTAGTAAGTAAAACCACCTTCTATAAAGTACAAAATAAATATGTTATCCCTGTTGTTCACAATACCTGGCACAACCATCAAAAACAACTGTTGCAAAACGTCACCCTTACGAAAATGTTCTATAGAATCCTATAGAATATGCTATAGCATATTCTAAATCCTATAGAATATTCTATAGGACTTCTTATCCTATAGAATATTCCATTGGCATATTCTATAGAATTTACAGATCCTATAGAATATTCTATAGGACTTCTTATCCTATAGCATATTCCATTGTCATATTCTATAGAATTTACAGATCCTATAGGATATTCTATTGTACATAAATTCACATTAAATATCGAATGATATATTCTATAGAACATGCTGTACACAATAATCTATAAAATGTTATACAGAATGTGACTTTATGTAATAATTAAGGCAATTTAAAATATAGCAATTTTACTACACGATTGATATTGGTCGAGAAATGTGTTTTCATCTGTTTAGAAACACAAAAGTTGAATAGCATCATATTCGTGTTTTGTGTGAGGTCCTCTCGACATACTTTTTAAATCTTAATGTTAAAATTTTCCGCAAAAATCATTCGTTTTGTAAGGACAAATCACAAGTATTTTAGACATATCTGTTTCATAATATGCCTGTTCGCAGGTTAGATGGCGGGCGTTTTGCCCAAACAAGGCCGCAAAGTTATGTGGGACTTGTGTAACTGACACGCATAACGCATTATTTTCAAATTGTGAGCGCGTCTTTGTCATTCGTTCAACGTTTTATAACTGATACTGGTAGAATTTAGCGAGTTTTTCTTTCGTATTTGAACATAAAATACGCAGTACTTGAATTTGTCGATGAGGAGTATAGAAGGTTGGTGAAACGCGCTGGATTATGTGAGAAGAATCAGAAGATTCGGATAATTTTGTGAATGGTACATGACTATAGACTAGGATCGTGAGAAAGAAATTGTGTCAAGGCCATCAGAAAATTTCTGAAAGGTTCCATTGACCCATCTACAATTTCAACAATAACATGTGAAGCTAAAGTATTGGAATTAAGTGGTGAGTGTGTTTGTAGTTATATGCTATAGCCTATATGTTTGTGCAGGCAATTAACAAAATTCTCTATACCCTTTATATTGTATATAGAATACTTAATTTTTAATATATCATTCTAAGAGTGAATATAATGTCTCAAGTGTTTAATTTTGCATTTACTATTAAATTTGCAGATTTGCTTATGTCCAAACATCATACTATAAACCAAAGGTCAAAATGGTATAATTATATTTGTAGGTGCCCTTATGTCCCAGTGTCTCAATAACAAAGACTCAACAGAAGGTTTTAAAAGGAAAAGGCAATTAATTTTAAAGGATTTTGTGTACTCAATATTATGGGTATATTGTGGAGCCGGGAGGTTCTGTCCACACACTCCATGACAGGAAAGATCTCCAATGCATTAAAGGAGAAGGATGCCAAGCCACAACTTGACAAGGAAAAAGTCAATGGCATATGTGGTAAGCTGATAACTTATTTCAGTTAGCTAAATATATTGTATACTATTTCATCACTCACAGCATGGTAAGACAAGTCCTGCATTTTTAAATAATTTTTCAATCATATTCCTTAATGTAGAGTATACTTCAAAAAGATATGGTTGTCCTGCATCTGAAGTGTGACAAGTAATGCTAAGAAAATGCTAAAAAGAAGTCCTGCGAAAAATAATGAACTGAGCTACTGGTCAGACAAACACTTTAAAAATATCCAACATATAGAATAATAGACAATAATTAATATTACCAAAATACATTACAAACAAAAGTATTCAATGTTGCACAACTTTTGATGTACTGATACATATATGCCAATATTTCTAATATATATCTTTTTATTCTTGAAGTGATTTTCATCATTGATGTTTTCTCATGGCTAGACATAATATATTGGTAATATTGCACAGAAGAGTGAATAGCACATCTTAATTGTGTAATATTGCAATTGCATGTTCTGTAGAATATGCTACTGTATGTAGCATATCCTATAGCATTCTATAGCATCTTCTATAGCATCTTCTATAGAATCTTCTATAGGATCTTCTATAGAATCTTCTATAGCATCTTCTATAGCATCTTTTATAGCATCTTCTATAGGATCTTCTATAGAATCTTCTATAGGATCTTCTATAGAATCTTCTATAGCATCTTCTATAGCATCTTCTATAGCATCTTCTATAGCATCTTCTATAGCATCTTCTATAGAATCTTCTATTGAATGTTCCATAGAATATCCTATAGAATATTCTATAGAATTAGTGCCAAAATCTTTTAGAATATTCTATAGGATATTCTATAGAATATTTCAATAGAATATTCTATAGAATATTTTCGTAAGGGCAAAGAGTTGAACAAACCTTTGAATGTTGCTGGAGATGGTCGGTGTGACAGCCCAGGGCATTCAGCAAAGTATGGCACCTACTCTCTTATGGATGAAGCTTCTGGAAAGCTGATCGACTTTAGCTTAGTCCAAGTGACAGAAGTTTCATCTTCAAATGCAATGGAATATGAGGGATGCAAAAGGTCTTTGAACAAGCTTATTGGCGAACAAATACCTGTGCGATGCCTTACAACTGACCGACATGTTACGATTACCGCTCGAATGAGGTCGGACTTTCCGAATATTGTCCATCAATATGATGTTTGGCACTTAGCAAAGTCAGTTACAAAGAAATTAACAAAAAAAGCCAAAAAAAAGTGTAATGAAGAATTGCTACCCTGGATCCAGTCAATATCAAACCATTTATGGTGGAGTGTTGCAACATGTGGTGGAGATATTGCTGTGATGATAGAGAAGTGGCTTTCAATCATTCACCATGTTGCAAATAAGCACAGATGGAGGGGTTGCAAGCACTTTAAGAAATGTATGCATCACACATTGAGCAGAAGTGAAAAGAACGAGTGCCATGGCTAAAACCTGGATCTCCTCCACATGTTGCACTTGAAGATGTAGTAAACAACAAAAAGCTACTGAAAGACATGGAGAAACTGACAGAATTTCGTCACACCGGTGCACTGGAAGTCTTCCACTCTCTTATGCTTAAATACGTGCCAAAGAGAAAGCACTTCAGCTACAGAGGTATGTTAGCTCGAACGCAGCTTGCAGCTTTGGATCACAATCACAATTGCAACAGACCACAAGCATTGGTCAAAAGTGGTAAAAACAAGGGACAACAACAGTTCAAGGTAGAAAAACCCAAGGCAAATAAGAGTTGGGTTTGCAAGCCAATAAAGGAGAAGAAAAATTATAATTATCTGTCTTCAATGCTGGCTGATGTGGTGAAAGCAAAGAAACATGGCATTAAAGTTATTAAAGAACCAGCTAAAATGCCAAAACACATTGCAAAGGAGACTAAACCTAGTAAACAGTCTGTGATTGAGAAACACAAATCCAGGATGTCAAAGTGATTGAGACATGGATTTCTTCTTATAAAACATTTCACACTTGTAATTTTTGGAAATATTACTTATAGATCTATATAAACATTTTGTTTAAGAAAAACTACCCCTACTCATTCATCAGCAAAATGAAAACCTTCAAACTCGAAAAATTCTTCTAAGCCAGGGGGACAGAAATGTGCTCTTATACAGCTAACTGCACATGATGGCAAAGGTACTCTAATTTCCTTCCCCAAGGTACCCCAACACCACCTAACAAACTGTCGATAAGCAACATGTCTGTTCCTTTTATGTCCTGGACCTTCAGTTGCTGTTGTTCCATACTGCTGCTTGTAATGATACCAGGCAACTTGAAGAACCCATGGATTCAAACAAACAGATGCAAATGCAGGATTGTCAGTTATACAATTAGGTTTACTCTCTAGCTTGTCTGTCTCAAAAACTTCGTCGTTTTTGTTCATAACCTCAGCTACTTCATGACAGCATACGCATTCTTCAGGACGGTCCATGATTTGACAATGTTCACAGGTACACCTGTAAATAATTTTATACTGTAAGATACAGGAGAGGCACCTTTTACAAGGTTTGAAATACACCTCAATGGTTATTAAAATGCCAATTTAATTAAATTTTATATCCCTAAAAAGAAACAGCTTACCAGTCTGAGCCAATCTATTTTCATCTTCTTCATATTCGCTACTTTCATCGCCGCTATCATCACTTTCCGAGGCAGCCACAATCTCTAGGACAGGCTCGAACTGGTAAGGTTGTAAACCCATTATTTCTCCCTCAGCATACGCATAAGTGTCATCTTCGTCGCTTATACTGCCGCTAGATTTATCACTTTCTTCATCGTCGGTAGTGTGAATATGTTTTACGCCCGACATTGGCTCCATTTGGCAGAGTAAAAGGTAAAAAATTTATACACAATCTCTCAACAATCAACAGTGAACACGGTTTCATGAATAAAAGAAACATTTTATTATGATCAAACATACATTATTTCAATATTATATTACAGGAAAGTCTTATCATTCTGCAGACTAACTTACGACATTGATCAGAAATCCGATTTATATCAATATCTTTGCTTCCTATAGTATTAGCGTTGTCAAGTACAGAATCATGTAAACAGTCATATGTTTAATATCTTCTAACGACCGCAAACCGCTGAGCTTTAATGAGCCGCCGTAATATGGCAAAATTGCGAGCTTCTATTTGCAATTTTTAAAGGCATATAGCGCACGATAAATCGCTAACAAAAATGATCTGGGACAAAATATTTTACACAGCAACTACTTATATTAAGGCCTTTCATTTCACCATAATTTATGTTCAGGGTGGATTTCCCCTTTAAAGATTCTCGCACCTGACTCGGCAACTCCTGTTCTTGCAGCCGCCCGCTTACAGCGTTGGTCCTTACCACTCTCCTCCTATACCTATGATATCAAATTTAAGAAGTCAAAAGACATAGCCAATGCAGATGCTCTTTTCAGGCTCCCTCTTCCCTACACCACAGACAACAGTGTAGAAAACCACCTTTACTATGTTGCAGATCTTCAGTTAACCAACCTTCCAGTTTCTGCCCAGGTCGTTGCCCGTGAAACTGCCCGAGACAAGACGCTTGCCAAGGTACTCACCCTTAATCAAAATGGCTGGTTTGAAGGACCTTGCAAGGATTTCACTCTTCAACCTTTTGCATTACGACGGCACGAACTTTCAACAGAACAACGGTGTATCATGTGGGGTTTTCGCGTGGTTATTCCTCCTTCATTACAGCAGCGCCTCCTTGAAGAGCTCCATGACTAATAATGAAAACTTTATTGATTTTTTCTCTTATACGTACAATTGAAAATCTCTCTTTTAAAGGTAATTTACAATTGGCTACTTGATATATGGAGATAAGATAATGGTTACAATACACAATTACATTACAGAATATTATATATATATAGTTCTTTAGTATGTTAAATATAAAATTAGAATTTCATCAAATCTGGTTTGGACCATTCTTTGTTTCTACAGCAGAAAATATAGTATGTCGATCTAATAGCAATATTAATAATTTTTCGAATAATATATTTTACATGACTTTGATTTGGGTACATTAATTCTAGCATTTTTATGAAAGCAGCAGATTGTTTGTCGAAGACGCCAAGAGCACTGATGGAGAGATTAATGAACTTTACTGACTGAAATTTTTCCTTTTGTTCCACAATTAATTCTTCATATTTGGAGTATTTGCGCTTTATATTATTTCTAAGGTTAGTTTCAAAACCAACGGTAAGTTCCAATACATACAGACAATTGTCCTTAGTCAAGATTAGTAAGTCAGGACGGTAGCTATCACCAGTTATAATGGAAGGATTCAGAAATGAAGGCAGATCGGCGAAAATATCTTGGATTTGTTCTGATTGGAGGTTATTGGCTATAAAATTGAGAATTGAGTCATGTCTCTAGGTAAATCGGTCTAAATAAGAGTTGCAGCCAGCAATAACATGTAACAACGTTTCACGATGAAGGCAAAACGAACATTCAGAAGATGAAGAGATTCCCCATTTCTTCAGGTTATTTCGGGTCGGTAGTGAATTGTTTATATAACGAATTGTGAAGTTAAAAATGTTTCTCGGTAGTTTGGATTGACAGGTTGGCCAAATCGTGTTCACTTGTGATAAAGAGAATTTCGAGATACTGGAGAAGAATGATCCTTGACAGATTTTGAGTTCGTAGTTTGTGTTCATGATTTTCATGAAATGATTTGATTACTTCCTTTGTTGAGCTGTACTGGTCATATTGTATGTTAGTGTGGTTATTCGTCATTTTCCAGAGGTGCTTTATTGGATTCATTACATGATGCTTTTAATGCTGCTCGAATCGTTGTTTGACACTGTATAAATTTTTTTGATGGTGGAATGATGTTGAGACCAAATTTGTTGGTTGTTAAATGCACATTACTCAATGTTCCAGAAATAGGTATTTCAAGCCATTTACGGATATATTGGTTGACGATTGAGTCTAGGTTTTCTGAAATCCAGGTTTGCGAAAGATTTGCTACAGTTAGATGCCAGGAGAGTTTTGATAGAACATATCTGGTGTATATAAGGACTTTGTTTTTCGGATGTAATGGTTTGAGGTCAATTTCTTTCATTATACTAGTTAAGAGGCTGATTAGTTCAGATTTATGTTCATTATTTGTCATTTCAAAATCGAAATATCTACCCAAATAGCAGAACGACTTGCCAAGTTCCGTCGCTGGAATAAGACAACTGTTCATGATTAGTTTGGGAAGATACTGGACAGATTTAGTGAGAGCCTTTTTCATGCCAAATGAACTGCATTTATCTACTCTAATAATCATGTCAGACCAACGACACCATATTGCAAATCGGTCAAGTAGATGCTGATTCTCTGATTGTTGACTTGTGATTACCGCGGCATCATCAGCAAATTGGAACCAGTGGACAGGGTTGAGAAGTTTATGCGAAAAACCAAACTGTTGATATTTCTCAGTTCTAATATGTTGAATAAAAGTGTTGAAGCAAAGGTTAAACAGCAACGGACTAAGACAATCTCCTTGCAAAACACCACGGCCAACGTGTATGAAAGGGGTACTAAATTCGGATGTGATAATTGATGTTCTGAAGTTTGTGTAGAGGCTTTTAATAAGGAGTTGTACATGATCTGGTATGTGTGATAACAAAGTACAGATTGAATCAAATTATGATGCACTTCGCCAAAAGCATTTTTGAGGTCAAGGAGGGTTATTACGAGAGATCTCTGTCTGGTTCTCGCCTGATTTATAATATAAGCCATTTGCGCTGTATGTTCGAATGTTCCTGATATATTGGGAGTGAATCCTTTTTGTATTTTATGTTCAATGAAATTATTGGAAATTAAGTAAGTAAACATTGCGTTGCGAAGACTTGATGTGAATACTTTTAATGGCACTGATTGAAGGGTTATTGGACGAAAATTTTCTGGCGAGATTGTGTCACTTTTCTTGTGGATTAATATTGTGCAAGCCTTCTTCCATTCGTCGGGAACAGATCCTGAAAGCCACACTGCTTCGATTATGTTTGTTAGGTAAGTTCTTAAATATGAACAACGTTTAAAGCAAATAATGGAGAGTTGATCGAGAGGACACGGTGAGCCAGATGTTTTCATCCTACGAATAATGTTGGTCACTTGTTGATATGTCGGTGGTTCAAGGTCGAATTCGGTAATCGGATTAGGTAACAATGGAATCCAGCTTGGTATTTGAAATAGCTTGTTTGGTTTCACTTTAGCTAAGATGTTTTTAAAATACTGGTAACAATCATTCATTCCAAAAGTTGGAAGCATTGACTCATTTCGGTTTATGACGTTCTTTATATATCCCCAAAAATTACGTTCAAAATATTTATCGTGGTTAAACGATTCGTCGGTATTATTAACAGAATATTTATTTGGATTAGTGCTAAGCTTTTGGCGCACGAGACGTGAAACATATTTAATTTCAGGAAGATCAGAATTCGTCGATTTAAGCAATTTCAAAGCTTTCTTTAGATCCTTCACATTGTGATTTTTATACTTTACAATGAGTGTTTTATCCGGTAAGGTTTCTATAAAACCAAAATTTTCGGCGAAGTGGTTGTAGATAGTACTGTTTAGATGTGATATCAAGGTGTTTAAATTGTGGCTTGTGATTGGAGGATTAAACTGTAAGGCAAATTTGAAATACTCATTGGCCGTTAACCATTCGGAATCAGTTTTAGGTAAATTTATACCCCTTTTTAACTCAGGATAATCATCATTTAAGGCATCATTACACACTGAAGAGTTGCCGGTGTTATTCAACTCTCCCACATCGTCATTGTTGCTATCTTCATATTCTTTAGCATCCTCAAGTAATTTGTCATTTAGCCCCAATATGACCCTGCAGCTACGTTGATGCATTTTCAAACCTCGAGCTCCTTTGCATACTTTTCCACAACAGCATTTAACTACTAATCTTTTAGCAACAGATGTAGATGGGGAACTAATAACTGGTTCCAAATTGATATTATATGAAGTTGGTATATCAGAATTAGCATTTAAATTTGCATCATTAATCTTTTCTTTACACCGCCATTGATGCCGACCAAGCGATACAAAATCCTTTCCACAAAACGAACATATCACACAAGACAAAAATAGGTAAAAAATACTAGAACGAATCATTCTTTCAAAGATATTGAATTGGAAATCTATCAAGCATAAATCAAGTAATAAATTTCGATTAAACTGGAGACATGTACGGAACGTGCTACTCCGCTCAATATATATATATATATATATACAGTACTGTGCAAAATATATATATATATATATATATATATATATATATATATATATATATATATATATATATATACAGTACTGTGCAAAAGTTTTAGGCCCCCAGTCAAATTGTCACTTGTTAGTAAAATTCATGGTATTGCAAGACATGCTTAGTAGAAAGACTTGTAGTGGTCTTGCACTTGGTACAGCCACCATGAGAGACCATTATTGCGGCACAATGCCTACTCATTGACCTAACAAGCTTGTTTGTTACATCTGGATCAACAGCCTCACGTGATGCGAAAATGGTCTCTTTCATTCTTCCAGCTGTCGAGATGGGCTTCTATCTGACCTCTTCCTCACTTATTCCCAAAAATGTTCAATGAGGTCTACGTCAACAATCTCTTATAGCCCTGGGCTGGTCAATATCACTTTCTTTCAGGCTCTTTTCTGAATGACATGGTGCCTCCATCTTACTGGAAGATATAATCTCCACCACAAAGCCATCTCATCTATTAGGAAAGTTCTAGATACAAGCCAAACATACCATTTTCCGTATCTAGTCGAAAATTTACGATCTTGGGACTTTCTAAAAGGTGGAGAGAGCTTTGCGGTTGAGACTTTATCTTTGAACAAGATAGGGCACCATGTGACAAAGAAAAAAGCCCCACCGAAAGAAATATCAATCAGTTCAGGGCAACGAAAGAATTCTGACCTAAACCTGTTCGAATATCTCTGGGAATAAGTGAAGAAGAGGTCAGATAGAAGCCCATCTCGACATCTGGAAGAATGAAAGAGACCATTTTCGCATCACGTGAGGCTGTTGATCCAGATGTAACAAACAAGCTTGTTAGGTCAATGACTGGGCATTGTGCCCCAATAATGGTCTCTCATGGTGGCTGTACCAAGTGCAAGACCACTACAAGTCTTTCTACCTAACATGTCCTGCAACACCATGAATTTTACTAACAAGTGACAATTTGACTGGGGGCCTAAAACTTTTGCACAGTACTGAATATAAACGTATATATAAAACACAATGACTATACACAACACAATGTATATATAGCTAAAACACAGTAGACGAGACAATATAAACTGACAAAAGAAATATTGAATAGATTGAGAGAAAAGTAGAATGAATATTGAATAGATTGAGAGAAAAGTAGGACAGGTGAAAAGTCAATAGGTGTAACATATACACTTAACAATGTCAGAACATGAAGAGCAAGAAAAATGTTCAAGATGGTCAACTACATAATTTAAATCACGAAAGAACTTTTTTAGTTTAAACTTGTAGGCCGAAGGGTAGTCATTGACCATTTTTAGGTCATTTGGTTTTAGCCAGCTCAGATTTGACTAAGGGTACCCTTAGATCGATTAAGGAACGTCGAGTATGGACATCATGCATCTCACCAGAGATATGAAACAGATTGCGAAGCTCACTTGATGATGAGCTACGCAGGGTGTTGACAACTAACAGTATTTTTCTCATCTTAATCAAGTTATTGATGGGAATCCAATTAAGTTTACGAATAAGATGGACAGAAGGGGTTGACATACTCTCATCCAAAGTTAACCTTGCAGCTCTTTTTTGAAGTTTTAGCAGCGGATCAATAAGCTCGCGACGTGCATTTCCCCACACAGTGATGCCATATAAGAGATGAGGGTATATAAAGGCATAATAAAACTGAATTCTACACTTCACTGGAAGGGATGGACAAATACGCTTAAATAGATACAGTCGAGAATTTAGCAGTTTGAAGATTTTATCCACTTGGTAGTCCCAAGTAAGATTTTTATCAAGAATTATTCCAAGTAGTTTACCAGAATTAATTTCCTCTATCGTAAATTCCTCGTGTAATATGCTGACACAGTCGAGCATTGGATACTTTCGCTTTGAATATATTTTCATGAATTTGGTTTTACTAAAGTTTAAGGCCATATTGTTATGTCTAGCCCATTGGGAGGTAGTAAACAGATCGGTTGATAATGATGTTTTGATCACTGATAGTTCACTATTATGGGTTAAGAGGGTGGAATCATCAGCGAAAAGTGAGGGATGTGTAGTGTTTAAAAATGTTGGTAGATCATTTATAAATAACAAGACGAGTAACGGACCGAGAATAGATCCTTGGGGGACCCCGGTTTTTATTGTTAAGAGGTCTGACAAATGGTCGTTTACTTGGACTTTTTGAGTTCGCCCTTCTAGGTATGATGTGAACCATTTCAGAGTGAGATCAGTAGCTCCGTATGCGCGGATTTTTTGAAGTAAGATAGTATGATCGACTAAATCAAACGCCTTCGAAAAGTCAAGCATCAGAACTCCATTGATTTCTCCTTTTTCGATATTATTAACAAGATATTCATAAATCATTGTCAATGAAGTTTCGCATGAATGCCCCGGTCTGAACCCATGTTGGTGGTCCGATAGAATTTTATTATCAGTTAGATAAGAGAAGTACGAATTGAACACATGCTTTTCTATGATCTTAGAGAGAATAACTAGAACAGAAATTGGCCTGAAATTTCCTCTTTCATTCTTTTCACCCGATTTATGGATTGGGATTAATTTAGCTTTTTTCCAAAAGGATGGAAAGATACCTGTGGTAAAGCTTTGGTTACAAATATTAGCTATAGAAATTGGTATCATTTTGGCAGGGAGCTTAATGAAGTGAGCAGGGACTCCGTCAAGTCCTGTTGCTTTAGAAGAATTCAATTTATTCAAAGAGTCAGATACTTCCTCAATGGTAATGAGAGGGATACTAAATTGGGTTGGCTTAATCGGCAGAGACAAGGTTGACTGGTTATAGTCAGCATTCTCCCTCATTTCAAATCTATCCAGAATGTTGGTAAAATATTCATTGAAAAGGTTACTGATAGATACTGCATCATTATACATTATATTATCAACAGTTAGACAAAGTGGAGAAGTATCCCTCTTATTAGAGATGGTAGATTTTAAAACACGCCATAACTGTTTAGGATTCCAGGAATTAACATTGAGAAGAGATTGAATATACGAGTGTTTGGCATTCTTGATCAAGTGCACAGTCTTGTTGCGCCAAGACTTTAAATTGATACAAAAGATATTCCTGATCGTTTACCGTGCTATTCCTGGAAATTTTAAGATAATAGTCACGTTTATTTTGAGCGATGCGGATTTCATTAGAAAACCACCCAGGAAGCTTTTTAGTTTTGACTCGTTTTTTGATAAGTGGTGCGTGATTGTTTAACACCGAGAAGAAGTGCTCGTAAAAGAAATCTAATTGATCATCGGGAGAATCATATACTTCTATTAAAACTGAAGGCAGAATGTCAAAATCATTGCAAAACCGCGAGACGTCGAAGCATTTCGTTCTACGGTACGTTATAGTTTGGTGAAATTTTGGGTGCGTAGATAAGCAAGGATTAATCTTTCGCGTTATGAATATGGGGAAGTGGTCACTTAACCCTAGTTCAATTATACCACTTCTTAAAACATTTTCACAGTGAGTCGTATATATGTGATCAATTAGAGTTCCTGCACTAGGTCGAGTTATTGAATTAATTATTTGTTTCAGCTGATACTGCGAAACAAGATGATATAATGGCCTATATTTGCTTTTATCGAGAACATTGCAGTTAAAATCACCAAGTATCAGAATCTCTTTACGTTCTTTATCCGCTATTTCGGGCAAGTACTCAAAATGAGATCTCCACCTTATATTAGTATCCGGTTGGTATATAAAACAAACTAGGATCGGTCGAGAGTTATGAAAAAGGAACTCAATCCATACGTATTCAATTACATGGCAGTCATCGGTGACATGGATATCAAAATGAACATCATAAAGCAGGCCGTGAGGAATATAAATAATAAGGCCACCACCTTTAGAGTTTGGTCGATCTCTCGTAACACAATCAAAGTCATCAATTAATAATTCAGACTCAGTCCATGTAGAATTGAGATGAATTTCGGCAAAGCAAAAGATTATGTTACTTTTTTGTCGACTGATCGTAGCATTGAGAATTAAAAGTTTAATGGCATCAAGCTTATTAGTAATGGCCTGGATATTTAGATAAAAAAATGTTAGGCCCTTAATTGGAATATCGGAAAGAGGGTAATTTATCGGCAAGTTACTGGATATAGAAAAAAAAGGGGTGTCAGCATTGGATGAGAGTATGTCAACATTATCGTTGAGAGAGTGTGTGGCCTGCCTACAGTCATCCTGGCATCGTCAGGATGAAGGCCGTTGCTCGGAGCCACTTCTGGTGGCCGAAACTCGACTCAGACATCGAAAACACAGCCCGCAAATGTCGCCAATGCGTGAATACGCGCAGTGCCCCTCCTGCGGCTCCACTAAATCCTTGGAACTTCCCAAATCGTCCATGGCAACGCGTACACACAGATTTTGCTACCGTTGATGGTAAGCATTACCTCGTCGTAGTCGATGCTCACTCAAAGTGGCCCGAAGTCATTGGCCCCATGCCAACCACCACAGCTGAAGCAACTGCCAATGCCCTACGATCCATATTCTCACGATATGGTGTCCCAGAGGCCATCGTCAGCGATAATGGACCCCTTTTCAGTCCGCTGAATACGAGCGATTTCTAAAAATGAACGGAATTCAGCGTATTCTCGTGGCGCCATACCATCCTTCTTCCAACGGCCAGGCAGAGAGGTTTGTTCAGACCTTCAAGCATTTCATGAAAGCCTCGGATTCAAAGAGTTCAGCTCGACTCCAATTGAAAGTCAATAATTTTTTGCTAACGTATCGCAGCACCCCACGCGCCACCACACATGAAACACCTGCCAAGCTTTTCCTCCAAAGAGAAGTCCGCACCAGACTGTCCTTGGTGAAGCCTGACCTCACTCGCACAGTAGCACACGAACAATCAAAGATGAAAAGTCACTTTGATCAACACACCAAGTCCCGACAGTTCGCGCCCGGTGACAATGTCCTTGCCAAGGACTTTACATCCTCCGAGAGGTGGCAGCCAGCCCAAGTGCTACAACGGAAGTCGATCCGCTCGTATAGTGTTCAGCTGTCAGACGGGAGAGTGTGGAACCGTCACGTTGACCATCTAATTAGAGGCACTCCGAATTCCGACAAGGACAGCAATCCAGATGCAAGTGGCACAGTATCAGGATCCAGGGCGTCCACAGACTAGGTAAGCACAGCAATCAGAAGGGGTCAGAGCAGATAATCCAGGTTCCAGTGATGACTCTAGCTCAAATGCAGTCAGTTCTCCAACCGGTGCAAACATAGACGCCCTGGTGCAAACGAACAGTTAACAAAAACTTCTACTAAATTGCCGGTGACAACTAGATCCGGTCGGGTTATTGAACGGCCCAAAAGACTTACCTAGTCTTATATAGCCAGTGACATAAAATAAGTAACGCTCGAACTCGTCAACACCATGATCTTTAAGACTTGCAAGAGAGGTGTTGTAATGTTATATGTTATTGTATAATGAAGTAATGTTGTGTAATTGTACTGCCGCTGTACAATGTATTCATATTGGGGAATTATTACATCTTATTGTTGATTGCACATGTGTTCTCATTAAATGCTCGGGAATTTAACAATAAAAAGGTAATATACATACATAGTATTCAGTATTGCAATGTTTGCATACCAATTTGAGGTTCATACAGCAGATATCTAGATTTCTTATCAAGTATTTAATAATTATAAAGTGCAAGCACTGCTTATTAGTTATTACATAATTACCAAGTTATTCACAAAATGCACATTGTTGTTTCACTGTAACCAAAAATGTTTCTTTCAACAAAACATATTCATCATAATTATATATTTCCCAAAAAGTTTGTTGTCTAAAATCAGTGGAGAAAACCAATCTAAATATACTAATTTTGAAAAAGCTAGGGTTAAATAGTATATAGGGAAAATACTTTCTGATATAATGTTTTCATATAACTAGCTATAGTATAGGCCTGAGACTTCCTAGTTCCTACCAAGGAATGACTGAGACTCATTAGGATTTTATAAGATTTTAAGCTTTGTATACTGATTGGGAAAGAGCCAATAAATTATGTCACTTGGGGTATAATGATTTAGGATTGTACAGCTATAGTTAATGCCTGGTTTCAGATTTTAATGATGAAAGGATTTATATTGTTAATAATAATTCATTTTCATGCAGTTACCCTACCCTGAGGTGTTAATCTCACAATCATTGTGACAGAGTTTAAAATAAACCCCAGAACCACAATTTCCTGGCTAGGTGTCAAGCAGGATTTTGTTGGATGAACAATAAAGCCCACTTTATCTAATAATACTACTGTGTCCACAACATTATGTACACATAGGTTATATGTTTGACCCTGAAGGTACAAATCGTCAATATGTGCCACAGAAATATGGTTCTGTTTATGTAAATAAGCCAGAAGTGGTTTAAGAATTTTAGTGAATTTTCTTGGGCAACAAGAAAGACCATTTGGTAAACAGGTGAACTCATATGTCCTGCCATCCCATTCAAATCGTAAATATTTTCTATCAGAAGCATGAATAGGTATTGAATAATAAGCATCCTTCAAATCAATACAGGCCATATAACAATTTTTTACCATGAGCTTGGTTATAGTGTTTAGGGAATCCATTTTGAAATGGTGATAGGTCACATACTTGTTAAATTCTTTCAGGTTAAGTATTAACCTAAATGAACCATCCTTTTTTGGATGTAAAAATATACCTGATAGTATCTGATCAGGTTCTGGTCTAACAGGTACTATTACCTGTTTCTGAACTAATTTCACAATCTCCTGATCAATGAGCAACTGCTCATTTTTTAGCCTGATAGAGTTCAAAAGTTTGTGCTGAGTTGGTATCTCATCACATTGGATTCTCATACCAGCAATGTCGGAAAGTATTTCCTTGTCATTGGTAAGGCCTACCCACTTTTTAAAATGGTTAGCCACTTGTCCAGCTGTGAAGTCAAGGCATCTTTGCTGGAGATATTCTACTAAACATGGCACAAAATTTAAAAGTTTACTCACCGAATTTTTAATATCCTGCAATTTCTGCATTATTTCCTCCCTGCCGGTGGCACATTTTTTCTCTTGGCAGGCCGAGTCTGGCCTTTCCAGAAAAAATCTTTCCCTGGTCTTCGGTAAGGGTGACCAGAAGCTCGTTGGCCGCTAGCATTACTTTCCCTGGACATTTGTTTCCTACCACTTTGTCGTGTGATATTGTGTGTCATGGTGTTTCCTATTCTGCATGATTCCTTAGCATCCCGCAGCCGCTTTGGCAGATCATCACCAAACAATAACTTACTGTCCTCATGATCTGCAGAGGAGGAACATATAGACACATATTCCGGTTTAAGCGCTGGGCGTATTTGATCTCTCCTTAATTGGGACAAATTGTGATTCATATGTCCCAGAAGGGCAATAGAATCAACAGATTGAGCTAGCACTGATTTAGAATCAATTTGTTGCCCTGCCAATAAGGTATTGGTCATTTGAAGGTTAGCAAACAGGAGTTTCCTTGCTATTTGTTGAAAATTGCTTAATTGTAAGTCAGTTTTCTTCTTTTGGGAGGAGAGTTGACCCCAAATCTCTGGGTTCACTCTGACCTCAGTAATATCCCTACAATTCTCTGGACTTTTGTATTTTGTAAGTAGTGTCTTAACCTTATCAGAACCTAACTGTTTGCCCCAACGCTTGTTGGCAATATCAGCCAATGGTTGATTGACACTTTCCCCGGTGGGTTCGTCTTCCTCAAGCGCGTTAGCTAAGTCGCGAAGAAGGTCAGAGTCTGGTTGGTCGTTGACCGATTTGTTTTGCCCGGTGAGCAATAAGAGGTCCTCCTCAAGATCATCCTGTTCGCTACCGCTCGCATAAATGCTAACTCGATCATCGTCAATTTGGCGGGAACTCCCTTCATGGGTCTGACGCGTGGTCGAGCCTGTTCAGCCGAGTGCTGACTTTGATTTTGTCGAACTATTCGCCGGTGGCGACTGTGAGCGAGCTCGTTTTCGACCCGTTGGGCTCTTCGAAGAACGTCGTTCTTCATAGATTTGTTGTAGCATGGTAGCCATTTGGCCCATGTTTTCCCCAATAGTCTCTAAAGCCTCGCCAATATCTCTCGACTGAGGAGGAACGGCGGTTGAAGTAGAGGATTCGCCCGCTTCTTGACGTTCGGATGTATGATAATCTCCCCGATTTTCATCACCGTTATGTGTATTTTCCATTCAAAAATTGAACCTAAAAGGCGAACTGGAGACAGAATACTAAATACTTACAAATGTCAAGTGTAACTGTGTAACCACCCGTGAAAACCATAAACAAAGAAGATTTCTTCGACACAAAAATTTTTCACGTTTCGACTTTGGCAAGCGTGCAAGCACTGATTGGCAAGACGCATACGCATCTCATGTGAATCTGTAGTGACGTAGACTGATGACAAAATAGAATTGGACCTAGGGGACAGACAACCTCGTACCCAGGGTCTTTACTCTATTCATGGGGGACAGATTTTCGGCTTTTTTTGCGCGAAATTTTTTTCGATGTTTTTATTATTGTGAAATATTATCGCCGGTGACGCGTAATTCATATTATCGTGTATGTTTATATAAAAAATCGGCAAAAATCTTCTAAAGGCTCGATTTTGACGCTAAAGATATCAAAATAGTCCTGATTTTGTGAACTAAACCACTGCAACCTGTTTTCATTTGCATTTTGGGCAATATTTTAAGGATTAGGCCGCTTTGATGTGCAATATTGAATAATATAAAAAGCACATGCACTTTAAAGTGAATATCTTAGCGAATTGACAACACATCGATTTAAAAAAAACATGTATCCACTGAGGACAATTTCTACGACCAAACGATTGATATAAATAAATTAGACGTTAACGTCTAGTTAATATTGCCGTCCGATCAGATGACATGTCGAAGTGGTTATCTGATTTTAACTTGCGATTCCTGTTCGAATATTTGACCGATTTTAATAAAAATGAGACCACTTTAAAGAAGAAATTGTCCTCAGTGGATACATGTTTTTTTTCTATCGATATGTTGTCAATTCGCTAAGATATTCACTTTAAAGTGCATGTGCTTTTTATATATTATTCAATATTGCACATCAAAGCGGCCTAATCCTTAAAATATTGCCCAAAATGCAAGCGAAAACCGGTTGCAGCGGTTTAGCTCACATATTCAGGACTATTTTGATATCTTTAGCGTCAAAATCGAGCGTTTAGAAGATTTTTGCCGATTTTTTATATAAACATACATTGATGATATGAATTATCGCGTCACCGGAATAATATTTCACAATAATAAAAACATCGAAAAAATTTCGGGCAAAAAAAAGCCGAAAATCTGCCCCATAGGTCCAATTTTACGTCAGAAATCGATTTCTGGGGTCAAATTTACCCTAGGGGGAGGGCATTAGGGAGTTTTGTCACATTTTCCAACCGCATGACAACGTTCCAAGCATGCCGTAAGCACGCGCTTAGCAACAATTATCGCTTAGAACTTATAAAATGCTATTTCTCCGATTCTTTTGCACATCCTACCCTAACAATTACTCAGAATTATAACAGGATGATAGTATGTAGAATTCAGACATTTTAAAGACAACACAGAACAAAAAAAGCGAGTAAATACTGAATTTCTAAACCGATGATAGTTAATATTCACTCTTTTCAAAACAAAACGAAACAAGACGGTTGCTAAGTATTCACTTGAGCAAAGAGTTTCTATTTCCGACGTTTCGGTTAGCATTGGAAAGTTTACTTCTCGTACAGCAAATATATACTACAATATCAATTATTTGACATGACTTGTGCAAGCCAAGCAAACGTAAACTCACGATCTCATATATATGTGTGTCATCTGTGTCATGCTGCGCAATCGTTCCTTTTATGTGTACTTGACGTTGCCTCGTCATCACGACACGAGAAACTGAGGGTTTTCCTTGCGTCGTGGTATATGTAACAATATGTATAATTCAAAATATCAGTTATGCTGACGAAAACCAAAATTTTAATTTAGCCAATCGCACGCTTGCAAACGTTTGCTAGTTCCCAGTTTTAACTCGTCTTAAACTCGCGCATGCGCATAACTTACAAAAACGCACAACGTCCATGACATAATGGCGGAAAACTTTGATTTCGCATTTGCATTCCCCGTCGTAATTAAAATCTCCGGGCGGAATTAGTACCCTCGCCTGGTGCTTTGCACCGGCTCGGGGATTAAAACATTTTTGTCAAATGCTGGACACTTTTTTGGTGTATAAACCTTTCAGTACACTTTCCGCAACGCAATAAGTGACCCAGCCTATTGTTTTTACGCTTGACTTCTCCCCTTCGATGACATATTGATCATAATCTTGTTCCTCCTTGGCTCACAATGCTCGTCAAACTTCGCAAATAATACATATATCCGCTTCAGCCTCTGTAGACTTCATAATATAATAAATGTATTGGCCGTCTTATCAGATCGCATACCGGAACGCCGCACATGTTTAATCTAAGGTATAACTCATTAGAATGCAAGTATAAATAGCGAATATATTACAGGGTCACGATATTCTTGCTCATTTTTATCGTTTTACTTCAAAGTTCTAATGTCAGTAACTCTTTAAAATATCTCGCCCGATGATAATTAATATTTACTGTTTCAAAGACAAAAAACAAGACGGTTACTCGGCGCTATAATCAAGCTAACGAGTTTATATCCGTGATATTTCGGTTATCATTAGAAAGTTTAACTCTCGTGACTTGTGAAAACCAAGCACAGGTAGTGGCATGCTCTGTGATTCAATTTTTAGGCCTTGGTCAATCGGTCGTAACATTTCGTCGCAACATTACGCAATATGGTTGGCATATGTTGCAAGATGTTATATAATCATATTTGACCATGCATGCAAACCGTACCATCATCTTTAACATGTTACATGCCAACCTAATCACACGAAAACTTTGCGATCGCGTGTATGTGTCGCATTTGTAAATTTGTTAAAGCAATTGCAAATTGGATATTTGTTTTCAATTGATGTTTCGCTACTTACTTATAGTTTTTCTGAAGACTGCGCACGTGTTCAAGTGCAGAAAGTTCAGGAAGGTGAACATTACGTACACACTAAACTTCCGAGTGCATGTTGGGTTTGGACAAACATCTTGATCAATATAATCACGAGTATTTCGACGGTTAATTCAATGATCAATTCATCAGAGGAATGAAAAGCGGATTGTTCTGAAGCAATTTTGTTCCTAGAAAGTATACTACAAGGCATAATGGCTTCGTTTTATAAATAATTTTCAGATTTGTCGAATATTGTCGTTAAAAGTGTTCACATGTAAAGGCACCCATCCTAAGCATTATATCTTCTATATTTTATTTAGCCTAAAGAAGGAAACTTCAAGCTGGAAAAGGTAGAGTATGAAGAAAAAGAATCCGAGCAACAAGGTTGAAGGCTTTTAGAAACAGCCACCACCAGCAGTTGTAATCAAGTAAGCATTGCTATTGAAAATCGCGAATAAAAATATATTGTCCTTAATTAATTAAGGGACCATTAAAACACGATTAACCATCTGAAAAGCTTAGCATTGACATTGCTTCTGGTGCTCGCTTAGCCATGGCAGATCTCGCTTCAGAGGTGCAAAACAGTATCGATGTGGGCAAAGCTTACATGAATTTAGGTCATTATGACCAGGCTATCGATTGTTTCAAAAAATCCTTACAGATGGCAACGGCAATCCGCAACCAATATGGTATAGTTCATGCTAATATGTATTTAGCAGATGTTTACGAAAGATTAAAAGACTATGAAAAAGCTATTAGCTGTTTGCGGAAAGTAAGCTCAGAAATTAGCACGGCCACTAATTTGGGAATAGCAATAAGCGATCAAAGGCGAATAGCAGATATCAATTGTAATTTAGGCATTTTTTGCAGTGAACTAAAAAGAAATGAAGAGGCAATTCAATGTTTCGAAGAAATGTTAAGACTTATGACCGCCATTGGCGACCAAAAAGGAATAGCTGAGAGTAATAGCCGTTTAGGCAGAATCTACTTAAATCTAAGTGAATATGAAAAGGCATCTGCTTATTTTAAACACGCTTTAAACATATATATTTTCATTAATGACAAAAATGGAATTAAAGATATCAGCAACGAATTGGGCCGTGTTCACTGCTCTTTAGGTGAACACAGCAAAGCCATCGAATGTCACAGAAAATCTTTAGAGATAGCAAAGACGGTCCATGACCAAGCAGGTATGGCACGAGCTAATTTTAGTTTGAGCGTTGCTCACCAAGGATTAAAAGACTATGAAAAGGCTATTATCTGTTTGAAAGACAGTTTAGAAATTGGCATGACCATTAAGGATAAGTTAGTAATGGCAGTAAACAATGGACAGTTAGCTATTATTTATAATTGTTTAGAAAAGTGTGAAATCGCAATTGAGTATTGTAAGAAAACATTAGAATTGGGAACAGAAATTGGTGATCAAGGAATAATAGCTGACGCAAAATGCACTTTAGGCAAATCTAACTTTCGACTAGGAAGAAACGACGAGGCACTTCTCTGTTTCGAAGAAATGTTAAGGCTTATGACCGCTATTGGCGACCAGAATGGGATAGCTGAAGCTAATATGTATTTAGGTAAAGTTTATCAAAGAATGAAAGACTATGAAAAGGCAATTAGCTTTTTGAAAGTCAGCTTAGAAATTAGCACGGCCATTAGTGATCAGCCATCAATGGCAGAACAGAATAGAAGTCTAGGAGATATTTATTTATGTGTAGAAAAGTGGGAAATCGCAATTGACTATTATAAGAAAACATTAGAATTGGGAATAGCAATAAGAGATCAAAGGGAAAATCCAAATGTCAATTGTAACTTAGGTATTTGTTACAGTAAACTAAATCGAAATCAAGATGCAGTGCAATCTTACGAAGAAATGATAAGACTTACGACCGCCATTGGCGACCAAAAAGGAATAGCTGAGAGTAATCGCCGTTTGGGAAGAATGTATTTGATTCTAAGTGAATATGAAAACGCATCTGCTTATTTTAAAAACGCTTTAAACATATATAATACCATTGGTGACAAAAATGGAATTAAAGATATCAGCAACGATTTGGGCCATGTTCACGTGAATTTAGGTGAATACAGCAAGGCCATCGACTGTTTCAGACAATCTATAGAGATGGCAAACACGGTCGGTGACAAAGCAGGTATAGCACGAGCCAATTGTGACTTGTTTTTTATTTACCAAAGATTAGGGGAGGATGAAAAGGCCAATAGCTATTTGGAAGACAGCCTCGAAATTGGCACGGCCATTGGAGATCAGGAAATAATGGCAAAAATCAATTTCAGTTTAGGTTCTACTTCTTTCAAAAATAAGGATGAAATTGCAATTACCTATTACGAGAAAGCATTAAAATTTTTCATGGCAGAAGGCGATCAAACGTTAATAACCTCGAGCAATATCGGTTTGGGATCTTGCTATCTCTCACTAGGAAAATTTGATAAGGCTTTGACTTATTATAAAGAGGGTTTAAAATTAGCCAAAACAACTGGAATGCCATTAGAGATAGCAGAAGCGAATAGACACATCGGTGTTATATATAGGCTGTTGGGTGATAATGAAAAAGCCATTGAACATGGTACAAAAAGTTTACAAATAAGCACTGACATTGGCCATTCGTACCTGACAGCGTATAGTTATGAGGATCTTGCAGATGCTCATCTGCGTTTAGGAGAATACAAAGTTGCATCATCATATTTAGTAAAATCTATTAAATTATGTGATGAGCTGTTCCAAAATACGGTTCCAGATGAAAACAAACTCTCCTTCACAAGTACTTTTTATAGAACGCATAGAGCTTTAATGAGTTGTTTTGTTTCTTTGGGGTGCATAGAATCCGGATTATTAGTGACTGATCTGGGTAGAGCTAAAGAGCTCCATTTTTCTATTGAGAGAAAACAAAATTTAGATACAGAATTGTTTGATTACGCACAATCTATATGGAGCAAAATTGAGAATGGGGAGGAAAATCGGGAAATAGAGCGAATACAGAACTCTCTCCAGGTAAAAAATGGTGAAACTTCAATAGTGCTATTTGCTTTTGAGTTGGATGGAAGTTCTTTGAATGTTTGGGTTTTGAATAGTGATGTCACCTGTAGGTGGTTAATGTCAGATGCAGAATTCGATCTGTTGATGCCCCTGATGAGTGGGTTTTTCACAATGACAAGTGTGAATGTCAATCGGGATTCATCATTCTTTAAACTTAATTCACTTGCAAATGAAAATATTTTTGAGAGTCACATGATCTCACCGCCAACCAAGTCGTGTAAAGGAAATAAGCTTCAAAACGTGCACGAAAAGAATTCGGGCGCAGATAATCTCAGCCCTGAAACTATTCTAAAACAACTATTCAATCGCCTCATTCAACCAATAAGAGATGCCGTCAAAGGAAATAAGCTCATAGTTGTTCCTGACGGGCCACTGTTTTTTATTCCCTTTTGTTCGTTGATTGATGAAAACGGGAGGTATTTATCTCAGAGTTACAGCATTCAAGTAACGCCCTCATTACACACTCTGACGTTTACCAAAGAACAACCCGATCACTCTGACCTCGGTTTTGCGTTGTTTGTTGGTAATCCAAAAGTTTCTTTGCATGGCACAGATTTCACACCTACTGACCTACCTAAGGCAGCTGAGGAAGTTGTAAGTCTTTCGAAGCTCTTCACAGCAAGGCCTCTCGTAAAAGCTGAAGCAAAAAAACAGGTTGTTCTCGGACTTCTAAGCGGTGCTAGTATAATTCATATTGCTGCTCATGGTGAACCGAAGAAAGGTGAAATAATGCTTGCTCCTGACCTTTCTTTAAATGAACCATCTTCTTCTCCTCCTAATCAAGATTCCTATCTCCTCACACAGAACGATATTACGAGTATTTCATTGCACGCTCGCTTGGTCGTCCTATGCTGTTGTCACACAGGGCAAGGTAAGATTTCTTCAGAAGGTGTCATAGGTATAGCTCGGTCTTTTCTTGCTGCCGGAGCTCGCTCTGTTCTCGCCACACTCTGGCCCATTAGTGATGATGCAACAAAGGAGTTTATGGAAGCATTCTACGGCGAACTGCTTCAGGAAACACTAGTTTGTGAAGCTCTAAGAAGGGTAATGAACCTCTTTCAGCAACACGAAAGAGAAGATTACCGTTCCATTTTAATTTGGGCTCCATTTACTGTCTATGGAGAGGATGTGATGTTTTCAAAAGGCGACATTGAAACGATCAGAGAAAAATCCAGCGAAACTCTACCCGAGTGTGGTTTTGCGTTGTTTGTTGGTAACCCAACGTCAGACTTGCCTCGAGCTACTGAGGAGGTGAATTGTCTCTCACAGCTTTTCACAACTAAACCCTTCGTGGAGGGCGAAGCAAGAAAAGAGGTTTTGCTGGGACTCTTGAGCGGGGCAAGTATTATCCATATTTCTGCCCATATTGAACCTAAGCAATGTGCAATAATGCTTTCTCCATGTCTCTCTTCGAATCAAGGTTCTCTGACTCTTCCCAAACAGGATGACTTTTTCACGCAACAGGATGTTCAGAACATTTCTCTGAAAGGTAGCTTGGTTGTTTTATGCCTGAGTCATTCTGAGCAAGACGAAATCTCTCCAGAAGGTGTTGAAACTTTAGCTTTGTCTTTTCTTGCAGCCGGAGCTCGCTCTGTTCTTACCACACTAAGGCACAGTGATGATGATGCAACAACGGAGTTTATAAAAGCATTTTATAGTCACTTACTGCATGAATCTTCAGTCAGGGAGGCGCTAGAGAAGACAAAGGAACTCTTTGAAAAGCGCGATGAAGAGGCGTACCGATCATTTGTAGGTGGGGCTCCGTTTACAATTTACGGGGAAGATCTGATGTTTCAAAAACATGATGTTGAAACGATAAAAGAGAAATCTCGCAAAATGTTTTCTGATTTTGTTGTATTACCACCATTAACTGAGCTTACTGGCTCGTTTGAAAATCTTCATGTACAAAATAGATTTTAGTATAGGTTATCGTCGCGTATTCTGTAGTTTAGTGTAAGGAAGGGTATTTACAAGTTCTGTTTGGGTTTATTGGACAGATATCCGTACATTGGGTAGATTTCTCAGTCTTTGCTTATCCAAAAGAGATATTCACCCTTCAGCGTGGATAAACACAAGATTAACTTAGAACTAAAAAATGCATGGTTCTGATTGTAGAAAAGAGCGTAAGTGTTTAAAAATTATATTTCATTCATCGCATGAAGCGCCAAGTTGTGTAAAAATTTAAATCCGCGTTGCGCTAACGTGCCAAGATGGTTCTTGACTTGTTTTCATTAAGCCTTAATTTATGTTTTCATTAAGCCTTAATCGTGCATATATAGACACAGTTTTGACCAAAAGAAGTAATAACTGACATGTATCTGTAATTTTTCACAACAATTAGCAGCTATTTTTCAGTGTTTGATGTGTGTTAAAAAATCAGTGATTCCATCACACGCTGTTCTCCACGAAAGATCTTCTCGTTACGTTCCAGGCGTAAGTATTAATATTCAAACTTTAACGTTCTATAGTTTATAAACCGTTCGAAAATCGAAGATGCTTCCAAGCTGCTGCTTATTCTGTGGATCATGCGACTCTGAATTTGTTTTTAAAAATTACAAAACATTATACTGGCCAGCGATGTTATTAAAACAAGCTGGTAGAACCAACGTGCACTTTCTTCAAACTTCTTTTTGAACCAATTCATTTAATGGCAGGAAAACACAAAAAATTAAAATATAATCTGAAAGAAGACAAGGTATGCATGCGCTGACCAAAATATTGAAGAAAAATGATTTGGAAGAATGCAAACAAACAAACATTGTCATGAATAAGTTAATTGGCGTGCAGGTACACCACGTAAGAATAATAAATACTTACGTGGTGTACCTATATACAAGCTAATTTACTTATTTGATGTCACGATGCTAAAGTACAAGAATATTATAAACATTGTCCTATTCAACACTTCTTAGATAAACAAACTAGTACCGTGTGTAGGATTTTACCCTACAATACACCGGCATCTTTGTTGTCGAAATTCTGAAAAATACTTTGAGAATGCAGCGTCCATGAAATAAAAAAATCTGTATTTAATAACATATTTTGCTAATACTTTTCGCCGTTTGCGTAGACAGCAGCTTTACTGCAGCTGTTCTGTAAAACACTATGGGAGACTTGAATTCAGAATATGCATTTTCCTAAAAAAGTTTACTTTTAATGGAGGATAATCAGAAATTGCTCAAGAACAATGAAAAAACCTTACTCAGCAGCGCTTGAGAAACCATAATAATGGAAATGACAGCGAAAAATATTTCGTTGTTCTGAGCATAATATCAATTAGCTTATTGCTTTTTTTAATGTTAGGTATCTGACATTCAATACAGTAATTTTAATTTTTTTTATTGCATGAAAAATCTATCAATAAATTGTAAGATAGCACAGCACCTAGTTTTCTTTAAAGAAAATACGACCATTAAACTACAACCAACATTCCATAATCGGGTGGAAGACAGCATCAGAGTTGCATTGGTATATTACACTGAGAATCAACGAGTGTCATGAAATGATTCGAATTTTGATGTCTCATACAAAAACACCACATCCCAAACTTGGAAGCAGCCAGAGTTTATTTATTAGTCGTACGAAAATCTGCCAAGGACACATTCCGTATTAGATTGGAGTTACTTAAAACTCGTATTGTACACAATTATTCAAACGCTCTTCGCAAGTTCACAATCACAAGTTGCCATTAAATGAAATACCGTGAATTGTGCTGGGGAAACTCGGCGCAAATGCACATTCCTAACAAAACATAAATACTGTTGTCGTGAAAATACGTAAACCAAGAGCGACGATGTTTGAAGAAATTAACTTAAACTCGAGAACGAAAAACGGTGAAATTTCTGTATTTGTGCAAAATGCAGAATGATATAAGCTGAAAGATAGAAGACTAAACAAGATAATTAGGCTCATCGATGGCTACCATCTGGTGAGCAGTGATTGTGTGTTAATATGATCAATATGAATCTCTATTGCTTACAACGATTCCAACATGACTTTCTCGGAGGATGCAAAATAACTTCAACCACGAAGCAATGAGAATACTATAAATAGATTTATGGTCCAAAGGGTGTTGGTTTAAAGCTCGTAGATCATTAACTGGATAATTGTGGTTTTATTCAAACGGTAGATAATTCACAAGAGATATGCAAATTGCGTCGAAGATTCTATGTTGCGTTGTAAGAAACTACGAGGAGATGATGATCCACAAGATGGTTATACGGAATGTTGGTCATAATTTCAGTAGAGACACACAGAGTTAAGCTTAGCTGAACAAATAATTTTTGCAAGTCACAGTCGTGCCAGTGAAATTGTTCCTATATAATTTACACATCAGTTTATTTGCTCGTTAATAAATAAAACTTTCCAATCTCACTGTAAATTATCGAAAAAGCCAAAATCATCTGTACCTTATCTTGCACCTTATTCGGGTACAATTGAAAAATCACAAAAATCTTATCAGAATAAGGTACTCAGTGCCGAAAACTCCCAGACTAAATGATTTGTTTTGCAAATGAATTAAATTAAGCTACAATACTTTTAGAACACTTTCATTACCACGGCTGTAGCTTGGCATGATCTTTAACTTCCTACCATTGGTGGCGATATCTTGATTATCCTCCATTTGTTCACGTGATAACACTTTATTTTATGCATTTCTCATAATGCGACTTCTGTCAGACACAGGAACAAATAGTAATTTAATTAACGTATTCACTATAAATATCACTTCACATAGTAAATATTTTAGCATAAAATCGAGACTTTATAATAGACCAAAGTATCCTTGGTTATTAATAATTAGTAAATGCATGAACATCAATCTTAGTTAACATTTTACCTTTTAGTCGTATTTGATTGTCTCTCAAAGACACCATTTTAATATTTACCCATGTATGCTATTTCAATATTTATAATATACTGGGTTTTAAGAATCAAATTGTTTATTTTAAGAGTCAATGTCTTTACATTTTAGGCAAAGTTAATCAAGGTTTTTATGTTTGATTTCAATATTTTCAGATTAAGTTTTTTAATATTAATCTGTGACAAGACATGAGTGCATGAAATGAGTGAATGAGTGAAATATTGCTATTGACTGCAAGGAAAATTAATATAACTTCGTGAACAATAATTTGCAAATAATAATTCCGAAGCAATGGCGGGGCATGAATTGTGCTCGGATATTTACAGAAAATCAAAATATCAAGTTTATCTTAATTGTTTAAGGCTCATTAATTGGGTTTACAAAACGTTGTATTCAGGAAGAGTTTTCTGCCTTATACTTCCTTCACCAACACCCTTCCTGAGAGGTTGCTCGCTCTCTGTACTTACGATATTTTACTTTCGTAGAAAGGTAAGTATTCACGTTTTGTATTCTGTTGTCTGTGTGCCGGTTACAAAATTTGCACTGCTTTTTCGTCTCCTAATTAGCAGTTGTTTTGAGATTTATCATGCAGCTGCTCTGCTTTCTAGCTCAATATTTCATTTTGAAATCTTTCATCCTCGAGATACTGATCTCGAGTAGGCGACGTCAATCTAACATGCTCGGAATTATTCTCCATGAGACCGTTGATATGGCAAGTGAATACATGCCATCTGATATTTAAGAAAAAAATAAGAATGAATTTTATAAATGCTACACAACAAATCTAAGAATATAGCTAAATTAATGCCAAACAACTTGTGAGCAAATTAATTGAAAAAATCAAGCTTCTTAGAGTTTTGATCGTTCATTGCTTGGCATATTGCGAGATCAATCAGTCACAACAGAGCATATTTTGCTTTCTTCCTCAAAGCACATTTCACTCTTTTCTCCTGAGCTCTTACGCTGTACACCTGACATTATCTGACATATCCAATGTGAATGATTTAACACTAGCCAGTTTTCCATTCGGTTCTTTTCGTTCGTTTTCAACATTCTAACGATCCTTTGCAGCCATAAACGTCTGCTTGCTTTTCTAAGAATTCTGTCTCATGAATTCCTCTATTTCCTTTTAATATAAAAATCCTAATATGAAAAACCATCTTAATATAAAAAATTCTTCTATACCGGATTGCAATCCACGAGAACGTGTAAAAAGCAAGTAAGATATTAAGTAATACTTTATTGTATCGTGGTTATGCTGATGGTAATTCTTTTTAAAGTTGAGACCGTATAAAAATGCGAATATGAAGCATTACGCTTTCGCATAGGATGAAACCGCAGTACTATGGTACGTGTGCTAAAAAAACTATCATGGTAAATAAAAATCACTGAAATCGAGCTGCACGGCTTGCACGAATATAAGGTTGCTCGGAGCATTCCTATATCAGATTGTAGGGATAACGAACTACCGCCACAGGTATGATAAGCAATATATTATATTTCTACCTTTACAAAGAGCGTGCGTTTCTATAAATACTTTTATATCTGCACGTATACAATGCATGATGCCGTCTTAATTATATAATAGCCCAACTTATGATCTAGGTATTAACAAGGAGGAAATTAATCACCACAGGCGGGTACAGCTGAAAAGAACATACTGCAATTAGTATAATCGCCAAGTTTGGCTGCAAAATGTCATGTAGTACGGAAAATATAGCCATGCGAACTGCGAAGTAGGCAATTTTTAAATACTATGCTTGCAGTACAAAAGTGGCGGAAGTGTTAAATACACTCTTCTGACCATAATACAAAAGTACACGTTGAATGTTTGCTAACTTCGTTTGGCTTATCTTCGGTATATTATTATATTATAATATTTCGCAGCTAAACTTAGCAAGTTTTGTACGCCCTTTTCGGATATTCCCTTCTTGTCGCCTAAATCTAAAGTTGGTCCTAATTCCAAGGGCTAAATTTTCAAGCGAAATATTTCGCCTGCTTCTTTTGAATTGTGAGCAATGAAGCAGATATAATTTATTCAAGTGGTCGAAATTCAAAAGAAACAGGCGAAATATTTCGCATTTCGCCGAGAAAAACCGCCCGTGGAATTAGGCCCTTACGCAAGTGGTCTATTACAACGATAACTTCTATCAGAATGCAAATATTTACTTCGCTCCCACGAAACCACGTAATATGACACGCTTGCGGTTGGTGCCCAATGGAATGTGCTTGGTTAATGGTTACAGAGTGTTGCGCAGACACTAGCTCATTGTTTAGTTTTAGAATATTAACGAATGTTTTGTGCAATTGTCTGCACTGTATTCGGTGGTAAAAACTTTCTTACTTGGAAAGGAAGGATAAATTTTGCCCAAGGTATCTTGGTCGCGTACATTCTTATTAAAGTGCAAGATTTCAAACCATAAGTTGCGGTCGGCCGGATTGGTACGAGTAAGACAATATGATAAACAATAAGCGTCTCTTGTATTAAACATGACAAACGATTGACGCAATTAAATTTTCAAGTCGGTTTTCCCTCAGTATGAATGAAAAGCAATTTAGAATCCAAATAGTTTTGCTAAATTTTTCTCCTTTTACTTTGTATACCAGCGATTCTTTCAAATATTTCGACCAATAAATAATGATATGCATGCACTGTCTCCAAGACTAAATGAAAACAAGACGGTTGCTAAGCGTTGTACTCGAGCTAACGAGCTCCTATCGATGTTTCGGCTATCAATCATATTGACTCTACTGCATACGGCAATCTTATGTGAAATCGTTGGAAATCTGTCTTGAAAATTTCTTCAATGTCAAAGTAAAGCAAACAATATTGATATCAAACTCGCGGTGAGTGAGTGAGAAGAACTTATGCTTGACATGTTCTGCAAATTGCACTTTGTGCATAAATCTACGATACTGCGTCATTACAAATAAACATGGCACGATAGACTGTGCTTTTCTCTTGCATGGCTTTGTTAAATATGTCGTACTCAATGTATCCACATTTCACACAATAATCTCTTCCGTATTTAATCACATATTTGAGGATCTTTGCCACTCGAGTACAAATCTATCAACTTGCATTATATGACATTCAATTTTCATGAATAATAAATTGAATCGAATAACGTATGTGGCTACACCCTTTAATAAGTTGACTTAAGAGTTAATCTTTCTGAACTTTCAGCACGTAAACAGTCTTCAGAGAAACTAAACTAAGTAACTAAACATTCCAAAATCCTTTTACGACTTTCGTCATGCGGTCTCATGTTACAACACATTATAATTATCGCATTGACGTCCCCAGCTCTTTTGGCTCAATTTTTTCGAGCTTCAGTGTCTATCAATTTACTATACAATTCTTCGTTGACTACATTTAATAAAGCCCCGGTCAAACGAGAATGAGAATTGATGAGAGTTGAGAAGCGAGAGTTGATCATGCAGATCATAGAGTAAAAATAAGCGAGGCTACTATACCGGTGTCTAATCCTCTAGTTGTTAAGACAACTAATTTTGCTTGACTTAATGACTGATGAATAATGTTCAGATTTACTTCAAAATCCAAACGTGTTTAGACGAACTTTCCACCAACTAAACTGCAAAGGGCCCATCATAGCGAGGCTGCTATACCTAAGGCTAGTCTCAGTATAAAAGAGACCAAATGCTTTGGGCCTGGTTATATAAAATTCCTAACTTCGTCTGAGGTAGTTTATTCGCACGGTTAAAGGAACTTCCTTGACTAACTAACTGCCGCTGAAAGTTAACTACCTTTCTTCGGCCGGCGACAATCGTCGTAGGCATATGTTCACATGTAAAGACGTCCATCTTAATAAAAATTATATAATTTCAGACTAAGGAAGGCAACTTTATGCTGAAAAAGATAGAGCAGAAAAAGAATCCGAGCCACAATTAAGGTATTGAATATAAAAACCGTTCATAGAAAAAGTCACCACCAGTTGTAATCACGAAATATATAATTGCGTGCTAAGAAACACTACCTGATTGTTTTTTTCTTTGGTGTGATTATAAGAAGAGAAATCAGTATTATAAAATATTTCATATTCAGGACTTAGGAAAGATATAGAAAACACGCAAATGCATTAAATGCTAAAATAAGCTTGCTCAACAATGGCAGATCGTGCTTCAGGAAGAAATGAAGAGGTACTTCGCAGTATCGATTTGGGCCGTACTCAGGTGAATTTAGGTGACTATACCAAGGCAATCGATTATTTCCGAAAATCTTTACAGATGGCAAAGGCGGTCGATGACCAAGCAGGTTTGGCAGAAGCCAATTTCTATATGGGTGATGTTTACCAAAAATTAGAACACTATGAAAATGCCGTCAGCTGTTTGAAAGACAGCTTAGATATTAGCACGACTATAGGCAATGAATTATTAATGGCAGAAAGCAATAGCGCTTTAGGTAGTATTTATGGGAGTTGTTTAAAAAAGTGGGAAATTGCAATTGAATATTATAATGCAGAATTAGGGTTGGGAGCAACCATTGGTGATCAAAAGCAGATAGCAAAGGTCAATTGCAATTTGGGCGTTTGTTACCATGAACTAGAAAGAAATGTAGATGCAGTTCAATGTTACAAAGAAATGTTAAAACTTATGAGTGCGATTGGCGACCAGAAAGAAATAGCTGAGAGCAATAGCCGATTAGGCGAAATCTATTTTGGTTCCAGTGACTATGAAAAGGCATTTGTTTATTTTAAACAAGCATTAAACATATATAACGCTCTTGATGACAAAAATGGAATCAAAGATATCAGTATCAATTTGGGCCGTGTTCACTTAAACTTAGATCAATATAGCGAGACCATCGACTGTTACGGAAAATCTTTAGAGATGGCAAAGAGGGTTGGTGACCAAGCAGGTATAGCACGAGCCAATTGTCATTTGAATTGTGTTTACCAAAGATTAAGAGAGTATGAAAAGGCCAAAAGCTATTTGGAAGACAGCTTTATAATCGGCACGGCCATTGGTGATAAGTCAGTAATGGCACAAATCAACTTCAGTTCAGGTAATATTTTTAGTTCTTTCAAAAAGTATGAAACTGCAATTGATTATTATGAGAAAGCATTAGAATTTTACACAGCAGAAGGCGATCAAAGCTCAGTAGCCAGGATCAATAACAGCTTGGGATCTTGTTACATTTTACTAGGAAATTTTGATGCCGCTTTGATTTATCACAAAAAGAGTTTAAACTTAGCCAATACGACTAAAAATCCATCAGCGATAGCACAAGCCAATAGACACATCGGTGTTGTATATAGACTGTTGGGTGATAATGAAAAAGCGATTGAACATGGTAAAAAAAGTTTAGAAATAAGCACTGTTATTGGCGAGTCGCTTCTGATATCATATAGTTTCACATGTCTTGCAGATGTTCATCGGGGTTAGGAGAATATAAGTTGCATCAAACATATTTAGTAAAATCATGATAGAGTACTTGAAAAGCTGTTCCAAAATTCAGTTCCAGATGAAAACAAACTCTCCTTCACAGGAATATACTCTAGCACCCATAGAGATTTAACTAGTTGCTTTGTTTCTCTGGACCGCTATGAATCCGGACTATTAGTGACTGATCTGGGTAGAGCTAAAGAGCTCCATTTTTATATTGAAAGAAAACAAAATTATTTAGATACAGAGTTGTTCCCTAACGCACAATCTGTATGGAATAAAATCGAGAACGGGGAGGAGAATCTAGAAATAGAGCGAATACAGAAGATTCTTCGGGTAGAAAGGGATGAAACATCAGTTGTGTTATTTTCCTTTGAAAGTGAAAGTTCTCTGAATGTTTGGGTTTTGAATAGTGATGTCACCTTTAAGCGCCTGATGTCAAATGAAGCATTGAATACATTGGAGTCCCTGATGACTCAGTTTTCCACAAATACAAGTGTCAATATCAATCGAGATTCTTCATTTTTTAAACTTGATTCACTTGCGAATGAACATAGTTTTCATAGTCACATGATCTCACCGTCAACCAAGCCGTGTAAAGGAAAAAAGCTTAAAACCTTGCACGCAAAAAATCCGAGCGACGATCATTTCAGTGAAGCTATTTTAAAAAAACTTTTCGATCTTCTCATTCAACCAATAAGAGATGCCGTAAAAGGAAATAAGCTCATTATTGTTCCTGACATGCAATTGTTCTTTATTCCCTTTTCTTCATTGATTGATGAAAATGGGAGGTATTTATCTCAGAGTTACAGCATTCAAGTAACGCCCTCATTACACACTCTGACGTTTACGAAAGAACAACCGCATGACTCTGACCCCGGTTTTGCGTTGTTTGTTGGTAATCCCAAAGTTAGGAATGCTTCTTTGCATGGCACAGATTTCACATCTGCTGACCTACCAAAAGCAACTGAGGAAGTTGCAAGTCTTTCCAAGCTCTTCACAGCAAGGCCTCTCGTAAAAGCTGAAGCAAAAAAACAGGTTATTCTCGGACTTTTAAGTGGTGCTAGTATAATTCATATTGCTGCTCATGGTGAACCGAAGAGAGGTGAAATAATGCTTGCTTCTGACCTTTCCTTAAATGAACCATCTTCTTCTCTTCCTAATCCAGATTCCTATCTCCTCACACAGAAGGATATTACGAGTATTTCATTGCGAGCTCGCTTGGTTGTCCTATGCTGTTGTCACACAGGGCAAGGTGAGATTTCTTCAGAAGGTATCATAGGTATAGCTAGGTCTTTTCTTGCTGCTGGAGCTCGCTCTGTTCTCGCCACACTCTGGCCCATTTGTGATGACGCAACAAAGGAGTTTATGGAAGCATTCTACAACGAACTGCTTCAGGAAACACCAGTTTGTGAAGCTTTAAGAAGAGTAATGAACCTCTTTCAGCTACACGAAAGAGAATATTACCGATCCTTTTTTATTTGGGCTCCATTTACTCTCTATGGAGAGGATGTGACGTTTAAAAAAGGCGACATTGAAAGGATCAGAGAGAAATCCAGTGAAACTCTACCCGAATGTGGTTTTGCGTTATTTGTTGGTAATCCAACATCAGACTTGCCTAAAGCCACTGAGGAGGTTAATTCTCTTTCAAAGCTTTTCAAAGCAAAGGCTCTCGTGGAAGGCGAAGCCAAAAAACAGGTTTTGCTGGGACTTTTGAGCGGGGCAAGTATTATCCATATTTCTGCACATATTCAAGCTAAGCAATGCGCAATAATGCTTTCTCCATGTGTCTCCTCGAATCAAGGTTCTTCCACTCAGGATCTTTTAACGCAACAGGATGTTCAGGGCCTTTCTTTGAAAGCTGTCTTGGTTGTTTTATGCCTAAGTCACTCTGAGCAAGACGAAGTCTCTCCAGAAGGTGTTGAAACTTTAGCTCTGTCTTTTCTTGCAGCCGGAGCTCGCTCTGTTCTTTCCACACTAAGGCACAGTGATGATGATGCAACAACGGAGTTTATGAAAACACTTTATAATCACTTGCTGCATGAATCATCAATCAGGGAGGCGCTAGAGAAGACAAAGAAATTCTTTGAAAAGCGCGATGATGAGGCGTACCGATCCTTTGTAGGTCGTTCTCCGTTTACAATCTACGGAGAAGATGTGGTCTTTCAAAAACATGACATTGAAACGATAAGAGAGAAATCTTTTTCTTCTGGTTTTTGTTGTATTACCATATGATGAGGTTACTGGTTCGTTTGAAAATCTTAACATGCAAGATAAACCATAGTGTAGGTGATGGTTGTTTAATTCTTTTGTCCTCGCTTATACAAAAAAAGTCAGAAAAAAGTAAAAAAAAGGGAGAGTATACCGGCTGTAAAATTTTATATAAAATTATAAATTTTACTTAATCATGTAATCATGCACTTAGGTTTGTATGAAATTCAAAATGTGAATTGCTAACGTATCCAAATAGTTCGCAACCATAGTGTAATTACCTCAACCGGAGAATATGTAATCATCTGGGTTTTATGTTTGTGTAGGTGACTTAAGTGTAAATAAATAAATACTAAGTGTATTTATACCAAATTTTGTGAGTGAATTTCTCTATCGGCCTTTGAAGAATTGGTTAAAATTTCGTTGAATTTGGTTATAGATTTTCCACTTTCTACGGCTCTCCAAATGCCCTTGTACAAACAGAAGTAGCTACTAAATTTATGTGAAATTTCTTCTGACCACAGTTAACAGTTTTTTTCCAGACTTTGCATGGTGTGTGTTAGACAACAAGCGATTAATCCTATGGCGTGAGGATCACCACGCAAAGATCTTTCTGGTTTCTGGTGTAAGTATATAATTCAACCTTCAACTAAGATTTAGTTTAGTAAACCTCCTTGAATGCAGGTGCATAGGAACCACGCCCGCGAAACTCTACTCTTGCGGTAAAGACGAGAGATTTTCTTGTTGCATCATCACATAGCTGATAAACCAATTCATGAATTGGAAAATCGAAGAGGCTGCCATGCTGCATGCTACTTTATCTGGATCATGTTTGACTACAATTCAATGCATTTTTCAAAAATTACCTAATGTCTTTTTCAACATTTCAAAGATAAACGAAATTGTCTCGTGCGTGAAATTTTTGCCGCAGTTTCTGCTCAATACCATACAATGGTATAAATAATAATCAATGTTTACGAGGGCAATGGTAAAGAATATTTTCACGAGGTGAAAGATGGATAATTCCATTCATCGAGGAGAATTATTTGTTTTATACAACACCAAAAAAAACACCAAAAAGATTTAATGTTATTGAAAAAAAAGTTTGTGTTTATTAGTAATTCCATTTTCGGATTCGTGTGTTATCAAATGTGTGCAAGTACGATACGATTAATGCTGTGAGTGATTGAATTTTGTGAAAAAGCAACTGTGCATTGACAAAAACTTGCACGTCTTTACGCTGCAATGGAAACATTAATTGCACTGTTAGTAAAAAGAAAAAATTTTATCTAATGCCACGCAACCACAAACACTGAACCAATTGAAAGACATAAAATGAATGAGGTACTATTAAATAACTTTCAATGGAGGATAATGAAAAAATGCTTGTGAACAACGCTAGCTCTTCGCTTCTTCATATTAAGAAGAATTTGATTACTCGTTTCATAATCCCAGAAGTTAATATTCCTCTCGAGTAAACAAATTTTTCGTTGTTCTCAGCAGTGTCGATTGCTCAATTTCTGCATACCTCGGGAAGGTCCTGGGGTGCAACTCCAAATATGGATCTAATATTAGTGAGAAGTAGCTATTACTCGCTATAAATTGTGACAAAGCACAGTGCTTAGTTATCTTAAGTGAAAAAACATTGACCTTTAACCAACATTCTATAACCTGGTGGAAAAACAATATCCTGATTCATTGGCATATCACAAGAATAAGAAAGAAGAAGTATGATAATTATAATGATTCGAGTCTTCGTGCCTTGTACAAAGGCCACGTCCCAAATTAGCAAGCAGTGATTTTCTAACTGGTCACGCGAAAACATTCCGTAAGATTTGAAGATATTTTAAACTTTAAGAAAATCAGTCAAAAGAACTTCGGAAGAAAATCACAAGTAACATAATCACGAGTTGCAAAGCAATGGAAAGTTGCCAAGTTTCTGTGGAAAACTTTGCGGATGTGTACGTTTTAACGGGATACAAAATAATGTGGACACCGAAACACCTAAATTAAGAACGAGGAAGTTACATGAATTAAAAACAAGAACTAGACGTACGTAAAAAAGGAAAAGAGACGCGTGATTACGTAAGATGCAGAAAGATAAGGTGGAAGATGAAAGCCAAACTATAATGATCAATATTTACCATGTCGTTTACAGTGACTGCAGTAAAAGTGTATACTGATCTCTTTCGCCCAAGATTATAACATGCCTCTTTTAAAATTGAAAATGACGCACGTCTTATAGAAAAGCAATGGCAATACTATAAATGAATTAAAAGGATATGAGTTTATAACGTGTATATATTTACAACTCGATCATCGTGATTATATTCGAACAGTATTTCTCGTGGAAAAGGTGGCATATTCTCTCATGAACTTCACACCCTGAAGCGATGGAAACTATCAAAAAGGATACGTACAGTCCACAAGATGGTTATAGGGAATGTTGGTAATAATCTAAGTAGACATATAGGAATTAGCATAGCCTATATTAATGATACGCAAGCCGTTGTAATGGAAGTGTTCTTATATATAAATCTATTAGTTTATTAATTTACTATTTTGAAACCTCACTGTACATTTGATAAACGACCTCAACATGCTAATTAAGCACTAATTTAAGCACTCGTAATAAAGTTATTCGAAGTGAGAAGTTGATCAGTTAAACTAAAGGTAAAACGTCGCGATACAACCAAGAAAGAATATATCAAAAGATCAGGAACACTTTCATTACCACAGCAGCTGCAATACTCCACGATATTTAGCTTCCTACATAACACTACTGCTGAGCTCTGCATTATCCTCCATTATACGATATTTTCATTTTTTCATATTTCATTACCACATTACTTTTATTGAATACAAAAGTATGAAATAGTATAATCAAAAGTAGTTATTATCATTTAACAAATTAGTAATATCTTAGCATAAAATTGGGACTTTAGAAAACCAATGAATTAGATTCGATTTTAGCCGATTATTAAAATTTAAATTAGTCATAAATCGGTCGTAAATGAGTGAAAAAATAATTGATTTCTTTGTCTATTTTTAGTCGTATTGTATATCGATATAGCATCACCGTAAAAAGTGTAATCATCCATATAATATTATTCGAATAATTACAATATATTGTTGTTTCAAGAATCAAAATAGTTGCTTTGATGATTATATTTATAATGGACAAATGAATGCCGACACCCATTTACAATATCTTCAAAACACAGCCGCGGTTTTCTGTCTGACAAATCCGCTTTGCTAATAATATATAAACAAGCTATCGTTTGTTTGATTAACGTGTTTGATAATGCCATCAACGTGTTATATTTCAGTTCCAACGTAACCAAATTTGGTGTTTAAAGTGAGGCGCTATTAAATAACGAAGCAGTGTGTACAAATAACACCAAAGATGCTGGCCTACTACGTTGAACGCGATTTTCATTAAAATCGGTTCCAAAAATGTGCTTTTTTAAGGCTAACAATAGCACTTGTTTAGATTAACTACACAACTGTGACTAAACGGTGTGAGGTTAAGCACTGATATTGATTGATTAAAGGGAAATACAAACGATAAGGGTAAAGCAGAAGCCAGGTCTTGCATAAAAAAATTATAATTGAATTTGCATGTCTCCAGCCAATTTATTTTCTTAAGTGTACTCTGATCCATCATTTTCAGATGTTTTATCACAGATGAAAAGAACATTGTTAAAGATAAAATATTGTGCTGGAAAGTCGTCATCTATATCTCACCTATATCTTAACTTATCTTAACCTCGAAGCAGTTATTTAGCTTATATATCCGTGGATTTTTGGAAAAAAACACCGGCACACCTTTGTTTTAAATCATTTTGTACTGTTTACAGATAATTTGTGTAGTTTTGAGACTAGTGACTGGGAGGTAGATGAACACTCGTTACGTTTCAAAACTAAGATTATGCATGCGCAGCTAAGATTACGTGGCACAGCGGTGACTTCCAGATGACAAAGCGTTCATGAGTTCCGGAAACTTGAGAGACGCGAGCAGAGAAATTACTGAATAATATGTAAATGGCTACATAAATTATGCCATATGTACGCACGGCGTTTCTATTTTTCAATATTTTCTCTTCCGACTCACTCAATTACTAATACTATGTTTTGATTCCATACTTTATAAAGCGCAAAGTGGCTATTTTTTCACCTGGTAGTTTTTGGCGATCGCATCATTTTTGATTCGATTTATGCATCATATAAATACTGAATTCCCCCGGGTAGAAATACAGTCTTTAATTGCGCATACATACAGTGTGTTAAAGAAATCGTACACCACTTGAGTTCAAGTTGTGCACGTATTCTTTGTTGTTTTTTATTATTCTGTACGTGCAGCATTAAAACTATCTGTACAGCAGATAGTTTAAGGTTTATCGCTGCCGTTCAGAGAGAAAAAATTGCTGGTCAATAAATAAAGCGAGGGAGCATATACCTAACCTAGTATACCCGAGCAAACAAATTTTGAAATGACAAAATTTGACAACACCAGTCGAATAGTTACATTTCGCAGATAACTTCGAAGAATTCGCTACTGCATTTTGCAAAGATTATTATGTACCTGTACCAAGAATACCCGTTTAAACTGGTTGAAGGTTTCATCAGTTGGGATGAGTTCAGGCAGCACAGCCTCGTCATTGTGTAGAATTTCCTCATTCCACCAGCGCATATGGAATGGTGCCAAAGCAGTTTTGTTTCCTTCCAACACCAAGGTGAGAATTAAACCACCTGTTAATTTTCAATATTCTGTATTTATTATGTAATTTCAGCTGCATGTGCTCACCATCCAAAAAACTTTTTTCGATGGAACTTGCATTTAAAAATGAATTATTATTTATTAGACTCTTGTGCCCAGACTTTGCACGCCAAAAACGTGAAACCAAAAGAGTGCGAAAATAAAATAAAAAATGTCTTTAAATGTATAATAAAACAATTATATTGGATTTGGTTTTTCCATGAAATCAAGAATTATTCTGACATGGATCAATGTTACCAGCAAAATGACCTCCGTCAAATGTTATCCGCATTATTGGCATTAGCAAATTGTCAATCACATATAGGAGTCCATTATTAAATACAAGAAGTTGTGATTATGCAATCACATTATATAAATTATAAAGGTGATTCTAGCTATAAGACTAATCCTAATCCTGAAACAAATCCCAACCCTAATCTTAAATCAGTATGTCTACTTTGTAAAGCCATTCCTCTATCCAGGAAAGGAAAACATTAATGACAATTAAGATTTCTCTGTTGAAGGTAAATTTTGGAGTTTGAACATTCCAATGTGTTCTTAAGGTAGCTAATATATAGAACTCGTTTTTTATATTAAAAAAACACAGTACTTAGAGAAAAGAAAGGTCAAGGTAATTTGCATATTTACATCCGAATAAGGCAGCCTAAGGTTGATTAAGCTCTGATAACTCTTCACCTAATTATTTTTAGGATGGATTGAATACATCCCTACTTAATTTTATCTTTGCTCAGCCTATTGTAAATATATATACAAAGCCGAGCACATACAATTTTGCTAATTGACTGAATTTAGCAGTGCTGTGTCAATTAATTGATCAAGTGCAATGTAAGTAGGGCATATTGTTTATTAACTCTTGTTATGAGTACAAAAGAATTACACAAGAAGAGTATATATCATAAGCAATACACCAACTATATTTCATTGCCATTTGTGGGATTGATGCATTTATTAAATATATTAATTGTGATAAAATAATTTAATTTTGGATTTTGCAATCTTAGCAGGAGTAAACTTAAATATAGGTCATTTAATAAATAATAAATTAAGTGCAAGACTTATTTGACAAAGACAAGAAGTGAAGAAGATTAGTGAACATACCTGTTAAAACAAGTTCTGACTGTCCTGCCCAGGCTGTTTGATCACATGAAAGGATAGCATTCTGTTTGTTGCATGTCTTTTGTATCTGAAGCTTGCATAATGATAAAAGATTCTATTTGCTGTTAGATTTTATTTCACATCACATGCACGTGCGAGAACAAATTCAAAATTATGGCGGCAATCACACTTCCACCTGGTTGAAATTCCTTAAAATGCAAGTCAAAAGTCTAAAGTTCCTTAACTTCAGTAAAATTTGCCTGAAACTGTGGGCGGATCTAGGGGTTGCCAGATGCATCAGTCTGACCGTCTTTCATCTGCGTAATTTAAGCGTTTCCGATTAGCTGGTTAAGCCTAAGGGCTAACACTGGTTCCTCATTGGCATGCTTAATCTTTGGGGGGGGGTTGACTGATTGACTCATTTATTCGCCCATTTTAAGCTTTCCGATTGGCTGGTGAATGCCAAATACTGATTTTTATTGCTTTGCTTTATTTGTCTTAAAGGAAAAAATATATCTTGTTCA